CTCAGTGTTCGGGGATTCCTTTCGCTCGCAACTTGAATACAACAGTCACTGGAAAGAGGCTGTGTGCCACTGGGTCTCCGCGCCCCTGGGAATGGGGGGGGGGGGGCTTATACTCGCGGGCAGAGTATCGGGCTCCTATACAAAGGGTGCAAGACCCTCGCGTTGGCTGCCTTCCGGCCTGTTACTCAAACTCAGGAGTTCCGGATACTACTCGGCAGCCTCGCGTCCACGTGGTTGGGCTCCCCTGGTGGGCTGTCTTCACGAGCGGGTTCCGTGTCGGGGATGGGCCGCCTCTGGGACGAGTCCTTCGGGACGCTGGCGACTCGTGGCCTGGGGTGCACCGGGAACACCTCTCCCGCCGGCAGGAGAGGTGCGCACTCCTCACCCCCCGCCGGAAACGGCCCCATCCTGCGCGGGCTCTCGGGCTGGAGAGGAAAGTCGTCCCCTCTGTCGGGCTGGTTTCTGCAGCTTCAAGGTTCCGGGTTCCTGTGTCACCACGACTGGACAGCACCTCCCACCCTCTTATCCTAATCAAAAGCCCGGGGCGGGGAGAGTGAAAGAGAGAGAGTGTGCGTGCGTGGACACGAGCCCTATGGGCCACTCGTGAGCCTGGGCCTTCAACGGACCGATTTCAGCCCGGAAACCTTCGGCTTCTCTCTCTGCATACCCCGCCCAGACGCGGTTTCTCCACGTTTTTTAAAGCTCCCTTTGCCTCTCGAGATGTGTCCCAAGAGGGGGAGAAGTTGGGACTGTGGCCGGCCTGCTACAGGTTGCCACATGTTCTTTTCCGGATCGTGGCAACTTCCCAGGGCGTGTCTCTAGGTCTCCCCGGGTGCCAGATTACCAGCGTAGGCCCCAGTGCAGGCTGGATCTCGGCCCGGGCCTCGGAGGCGTGTGAGGGCACCAGCTTTGCACCTATCGTCTCACCCATCCCCAGGGCACACGCCTCGAAGGGATGTCGGGTCCGGGAGCAGCCGAGCACACCCCGGAACCTGAGATACCGGTGTCAGGTGTCGGTCCTCTCTGCCTGCCCCGCCCCGAGCTCACACTGCTTTCACCTAACAGCCCCCGCCCCTCCCCGCTTCTTTCCAGGGAAGACGCCCCGTCTAAACCTCCGATTTGGTAGCATTGTTGATACCCAGCCAAGAACAGGATAAAATTTTGTGTTTCCCGTCACTGTAAAGGCCTACCTGCCCTCACAGAAGTCTCTCCAATTGTCCCACTTGTTTGGGAGACTGGCAGAAACTCGAGTTCCTCAATACAAGAGAGCCATTGAAGACGCACGTTTTAACATTTAATGATTTCTGTACTTCAATCGCTTCTCTACTCTCAGATGAGAGTCAGAGGAAAATGAAAGAGGTAAATAAATGCTCTTCCTCCCGATAATTGGCTTCTGATGTGGCTAACTTGGTTGCAGGGAAAGTCTACCCTGCTTTCACCAAGTGAAAAACAGTCCGCCTTCACACCGAATTCTGCCTTGGGGTAGGTAGCAGGGAATGGTGCGCGTGCCTGCATAGAAGGAAACAACGAGGTACTGTGGCCCTGCTGACTCACACCTTTGCTTCCTCGGCAGAGGACTTGGCCTTCGGGTTCACACTCTCTCCCAGGTCCCCATCTCAGCCTTCTCGGGTTCTCCTCCTCTTTCTCCACCAGCCCCATCCATGTCGTGGTTTCCACCCACGCGGGCCTTCGTGTTTTCCCTCCCTGCAATTCCAGCAGCCAGATCACGGATCCCCTGCTCTTCGTATCTCTAGGCCTCTGACAAGTGCTCCCAATCGGTATCTCCTGCTGAGACCCCTGTCCTGAGCTCTACACCACCATTCTTCTAACTGCCTTGCGGCCGGGTCCTTCTCTGGATGGGCGACAGGTGCTTCGAACTCCAGTCATTTCCAAAACCGCATCATCCTGCTTCCCCAAGCTATTTTTCCCCTTCCAATAGTTCTCATCGTAGTGAAAGACACCTTCAGTTGCCCACCCCGAGCCCCCCCGGTTAACCTGTTCAGGGCAGAAATTCCTTCCTCTTGTCCTTTGTCCAAATCTCACCAGTCACCACAGCCTCCCTCCCTGAATCCATGGACACTCTGCCCTGCAGCTAAGCTTCCACTCACTGTGTGACTGTTGTCTTTTCTCTGAATGCCTCCAAACTTCCCACCTCCTTCCCAATTCCCTTCAGAATGAAGTCCGCCTTCTTTCTCACGGCAGTTCAGAGCACTGGCGGTTCGTGACGGGCAACAGAGTCCGCAGTTAGACAAGCTCCTCTTGACCATGCAACAGAACAGGGACGCGACTCCAGCAAGGAATCCTCCGTAGGCTTCACTCTTCCCCACTTCCGCCGGGAAAACGGCGAGAGGCAGTAGCACCTTGCCAATGCTCTTGTCGGTAATATTAAAAGTGACGCTTCTTAGAAAGTCCCTAGCGCGGCGTCTGCTCCAGAAGAAGCGTTGCATCACTTTTAGCTACTCTACGGATAGTGATGAAATCTAAAATATCCCAACAAAAGGGACTTCAATATACGTCTGGTTCCCGGTCTCTCTCAGAGCCTACCCAGGTTCCAGGCGTTCTGACCCCACCGAACATCTGCGGTCCCCAGGTAGGACCACGCCCTCACACATTCCTGTCTCTTCTCTGGGGACCGCCCCGCCCCCTTTTCGCAGCCCTGAGGCTGCCCTGAGGTTATTTTTGCTCTTCAAGATTCAGCCCCTTCATCCTCTTCACCCTCATCTTTTCGAGCCCTCCTCCTTTGCCTCCCCACCACCCCCACCCCGTCCTATCCTAACACCCCTTCCTACTCCCTTCCCTTCAACCATCAGGCCGGGAGTATCCCCCAGGGTAAGTAAGGATTTGGCCTCCTTCACCTCTGTGGCACCCGCACCCCCAAGCAGCGCCCGGCACTCCGTAGCTGGCCAGGAAATGCTGGATGAGGGGCCTGGTTCACCTGCCCTTCGGCCCTTTGCCTTCAGTGAGGGAGCTGGGCCTCTTTGCCGTGGCGCCGCCCACCCCCACCCCCACCCCACGGCTCTTGGGGTCCTTGAAGTTAGCAGACCAAGAGCAGGCCTGGACCCGACCTCTGGGAGGAACTTCCAAGGTCCTTGGCAGGGTCACGGAATACGGAAATACAGGGCGTCTGGAAAGCCCACGAACGGCCACGGTCCCAGACTCAGCCTGCTCCTGGTGAGAGTGACTGAGAAAAGAGTTCAAGGACCTGCCCCCCCCCCCCCCCCCCCCCACCACCACCCGCCACGCCAATCTGTTCCCGGATGCAGAGGATCTGGGGAGAAGGAATGTCTGCTCTCCTATCAGCAGAGACGTCACGCTCGGCCTCGCTGACAGAAGTTTCCGAGGGTGTGGTAGAGGGTGGGGGTACGGTCAGGGGCTGAGAGTGAAGTACATAAAGAAAGGCAGGCAGGAGGAAGGGGGGTGCCGGAGAAGAGAAAGGGCATGGGGAACACAACTCCAGGGCCCTCGCCTCACTGCTGCGAAGGGGAGGAGGAGTGGTTAAGGCCTGAGGCCCCTTATGGGGAGGGCCGGGACTCCTGGCCCATGACCGGGAAGAGGCTCCAGAGACAAAAAAAAAAAAAAGACTGGGATCTCCACGTCCTCACGTGTAGAGCAGCATCCATGTCGCTGTGAGGATGAAAACGTAGGACGGTCACGAATCTATTCATAGCATCAGCACCCATGATGTAAATAAGTGTGACATATCAATCGACGTAAGGCCCGATCACAATCATAACCGAAAGCAGGTCCGGCTGCCTGCCGCCGAGAAAGCCGACACTCCACAGGCAGGTGCTCACGTAAAGGAAAGTGGCTTACTTTCAGGTGCTGGCCACCTGGAAGATGGGGCGCTCCCTTCTCAAAGCCCACCGCCACCTCTCAGTGGAGGCAGTGGCTTTTACGAAGAGGGAGAGGGGAACAGATCAGAGAGGTCGAGGGAGGGGGTTGAAAAGCCCTCCGCGTGCAGGTGAGCACAGTCCGTTCCCGTAGGGCAAGTGATGGTTCCCCGTGCGTCTTCCTGGCTCCGTGGATGGGTGCAGGTCAGCCAGCCTCCCGGAGCTGGGGCGCTGGAAGGTCAGAGTCTGTTATCTTCCGAGGCCCGTTCCTAGGATCCTTGCACAAACGCGATGTTGATCTACAAGCTGCACACTCGTCGGAGTCGGTCAGCACTTACAGAAACGGTGTCCAAACAATGGTGGGTCGGGTCACCATTTCCCACCTTCACAAGTTTTCACCGTCACGCAATCGCTTCACTAAAACACACGCACACACGAGTTGGTGAGGAACTTTTAACACGCCACCAGCTTCCAGACTGCGTGGCATGGGCAGTAAAAATAACCCGGGTTCCTAGGTGGCTTATGGCTCATCTTTCACTCACCTCCTCTCATTCAATCTCACAATAACCCTGGGACAGAGGGAGAAAGGGAGGGAGGGAGGGCCTTGGTTTCACTCTGATCGAATGAATGGTTGAAGGCACTGAAGCCCGTGAGGAAGAGACGCCCGGGAATGCGTGGCTCACACAGTCAGAAGATGGCACTGGGACGGGACGGGGTAGAACTTGAGCCTGAGCCCTAGGGTTTGCTTCTTGTTACATTGTTTCGGAAGAAATCAGTACACCATCCTTACATGTAGAGATAGGGTATCACTGCATGCACATGCAGTAGCTATGATTTCTGACCGCAAACTAAGGCTAAGATGTAACTTCATAATAAAATACTACCTACTGCACGTTCATACGCATCTAAAAACTGACACGGAGGTGCACAGAACACGGAGGTGGCTTTTCACTTGGGATAGTTTCGACCCTACTTTGCTTCATGAATTAAGGATACCGCCTTCCATTTTCCACATTGAGCTTGCTTGCCACCCGTTTGCTCGCGGCCTACAAGCCGGCACCTCAAGAACATGGCGATAGAGAAAATTACCAGAACGCAGCTTGAAACTGTGATAGCCACTGGACGCAAGAATAATTCTCGAAGAACTTTCAGGGTTTTGATCTTATTTTATTGGCCAAGCTTAACCTGCGCAGGGGCGAACTCTCGGGGTGTCCGGAGACACGGTGCCCAAAAGGGCTGCAGATGAGAGTCGCGCCCAGCGCTTACAGCTAAGTCCTTACATAGGGGCGAGCAAGCAAGCAAGCTTTGAACAGAAGCAGACCTGGCAGTTAGCTATTTGCTGACAGAGACCGTGCGCGGGAACAGGGTGGGGTGTCAAAATTCAAAACTAAACAGATTACGATCTGCCTATCTTGATCTATGTAGGGCATTCACATACTGCAGGATGCCTGCTCAGCCTTCGTTTGCATGCTGTCCCTTGTTCCTGTTTTGCTGTGGTCAGGCTATGTTCTGTTTCCCAGATCTCAACAAAACCAAGAATGCTTTTCACGCACTGGCCAGCTCTCACCTTAATTGTTTTAAAATTGCACTAATGAGTTCACCTGTGATCTAATGACCTGAATTTCTCTTCCCCGGTTTCTGAATGGCTGTTGATCGGGTTTGACTTTGCAGGTGCTTGCACGTCTTTTCCAGTGAGTGAGCAGTGAATGGCACAAAACAGCGTCCAATGTGAACAGGGCCCCGGAGCCACCCAGCCTACTCCCTCACTGCGGCAATGGGAGGGGAGGCCCAAACAGTTAACTAGCGAAGCTCAAAAACGATCACGTGGCAAAACTGGTACCTCGGGAGTGCAAACCTGGGGCTGCCTCGAGTCTAAGAGTGAAGGTGGCTTGACCTGGCCTCCTTTTGCCGCTTTCAACTCCCCACAGCCCAGTAATACGACCGCCAACGTGGGTAACGCGACCCGAAACAAAGATGGAGCACAACGTCCCGTTCAGCTAGGTGTGAGCAGAAGTGCTGTGCCGGCATCCTCCCGGCAACGGCGGGATCCCCCGATGCAGAACGGCGAAGGGAGAACCTCCTCGCGGGCGACCAGTACCCCAGCACCTTAGCCGGGAAAGCGAAGCGAAAGCGCGCCCCGGACACAGGAGGGAGGCAGGAGGGAGGCTAGGGTGACTCACGTGGTGAGGTGAGGTTCCCGCCTCAACCCCAGGCCCCCAGCCCCGTCCTTGAGGGACTTTGCTATGCGGACATAGACTGGAGAAATAGCAAGTTTGACTGGCAAAGGCAGCACTGGCCTGAATGGCTGAATCCGCACACGGATTGCTGTGGAGCGCCTTTCACTAGTCAACGACACCCAGGTCCGGACACCGCTGCACAGCTGCAATGGGGCAGAGGAAGCCTCGGTCCCACTGTTCGGGATAGGACACCGGGTGACTCACAAGCACTGCTTCCTGACATGCCACCGTAGCAGAGCACAGGGGCAGTTGATTGAGCGGCCCAGCTGCAAGGTGTCACACACACACACACACAAAGAGTACCCAGCTCCTCCAAAGACTCCATGGGTGGCCCTAAAAAGGGCCTTTGAGATTGCCGCACGTTAAAGCCTGCAGCAGCGGCCTAGCCTCCGAAGCCGTACAGGGTGCGTCCCTGCCGCTTCAAAGCGTACACCACATCCATGGCAGTGACCGTCTTGCGCTTGGCGTGCTCCGTGTAAGTCACAGCGTCCCGGATGACGTTCTCCAGGAACACCTTCAGCACGCCCCGGGTCTCCTCGTAAATGAGGCCCGAGATGCGCTTCACTCCCCCACGCCGTGCGAGACGGCGGATGGCCGGCTTGGTGATGCCCTGGATGTTGTCCCTCAGGACCTTGCGATGACGCTTCGCGCCACCTTTGCCCAAGCCCTTACCTCCCTTGCCTCTCCCAGACATGATGACTGCGACCTGACCACACAAGCCTCGTGGCTGGTGAGGGCAGCTCGGCCCCTGATATACGAGAGCATCGGACCGCATTGAAAGCCGCAGAGCGCGCGAAATGGTCCCCGCCCCTCCACAGTTTCTCATTGCTTTCCTCGCCTAGCCTTTCCCTTCCCCCACTCCCCACGCCGCCCTCTAGCGGACCCTGTGTACCCACAGGCAGATCCCAGGCGCGGCTTCCGAGTTCCGCAGCTGTCGTCCCCCCCCCCTCAACACACACACACACACACACACACACACACACACACACACACACACACACACACACACACACCCCTTCTCTCCATCTGGCCGCTCCCCGGGCGCATTAACATTTCCCCTCCTGAGGGAAGAGACCAGAAGGGCAAATGGAGGCCAGGGGTAGGGAAGAGACGAGAGAACCAGCGCCGGGTTTAATTCCAACGAGAGGATCCCAAACTCCGAACCTGGGCGACACCGAAGGGCTGGAAAAAAAGCAGTTTCCGAGCCCATCTCCAGAGCACCGACCGGGCCCGGGTGGGGGTAGGGGTGGGGCGAGGGGGAGCGGTAGGGGGAGGTCTCCACAATGCCTGAGTTTCGCCTCCACTTTCTGGGTATAGGTGGAAGACACCATGTGACCGCACTTGTAAACAGGACTTTTAAAGAGGCGAGTACGTTACGATGGGATCATCGGGATGGGCCCCAAACTTAACAGGAGCCGTGTCTTCTTGAGAAGCGGGGAGGGGATTCGAACAGAGACAGCACAGAAGGACAACTGTGAGAGGGCAGCCACCTGCGAGCCTATTTCATAGGTGAAAGACTCCAGAAACCATCTGCTTTCGCCTTTTCCTGGTATTCCTTTGGTGCTGTAACCCCTGCTAGACAGGGTGCCTTTCTTGGAGGTCAATACAAAGGAAGTGCTTCTCATACCCAAGGAGCAGTTCATTGGGCTCTTCTTTAACGTCCAGGATAACCTGGGGCTCCTCTGGGGCAGATAGTGGTCGTATTTTCCCAAGCCTTCTGGGGACTCCTCAGCTCTGGCAGTCCTCATCTTTAAGGGACATTTGGGGACTGGTCTTTCTCTATGCTTCCTTCTTGTGTTGGTTAGGACAGTCATTTTTCAATGTCCCTTCTGCTTGTAATACACATACTGGTTTTTCTTCTGACACATGCCTGGTATTAAATACCCTAAAGGCTGTTTCCATCAATTTGGAATGGTTGGTCTCTGGCCCTATTGGTAATTTATTGGGGTTTTGAGGCTGAACCTGGAGTTTATTAGGTGCCCCCCCCCCAAAGCAGCTCAGAGATGATTTCATGAGAAGGAATTTATTGGAAGACAGCAAGTGTGGAAGACACCAAGGATATTCAGAGCACTATGTCCCAAATAAAGCATCTGATCCATCTTTGGGAGAAATCATGTAGGTGGACTTCGGCAATCGCAGGTATAGGTGGGGACATTCCTGTGCATTCATAGTTAAAGAACATGGCTATACATAAGCATGTTTTAAAATGGCAGAAAATCTGTGCTTCTGCGAGGAAATTTCGGTATTTTAATGAGGGTGTAATGAGGAAAGTTCATGAAGTCACTAAAATCAGCAAAGTTAAAGGACACTAGAAGATGAAATTTTGTTTCTGCTAATTCTAATAGGCCCTAGGATTGCTTATGGTAGCCTCTTGTAACATCACAAATTTTGCACTAGATGTAGTCCTTCTGCAGAACACGGCTTTTTAGCTCCATACAAAAGTTACAACAGTAGGTACTGCAGCATGAAGCTTACCATAATGACTGCTAAGGCAATCAGTATCTTCTTCCATAAGGTGGTCTTGATCCCAACCAGGGGTCAGCCCATTAGGTTATCAGTAAGAATGGGTCAGATATCAAATTTACTTGTACATTCATATCCTAAAGAGCTGGAGATAACGTTCCCAGAGTTATCTGGTACACACACACACACACACACACACACACACACACACACACACACACACTCTATTCTGTTGTCAAGGTATATTCCTCCTTAGGCTCCTGTGTGAGTATATAGTGATATTCTATGTTTGAATTAGTGCATTTATCAGGGGTATTTCCATTGTTATGGTGACATTCTTTTGAAGATATCATTTAAGCAACATTAGTTATACTTTTGTTAGTACCTAACTCTTAACAGATTATGCTTTTTAATCCCAGCTGCGGGGTGAAAATTGCTAACATGATAATACCAATGGAAGACAGACATAGTGCATCCATTCTGCAAACTGGGATAGTTAATGAAATTGACAGCTGTTCTTCTGCCTACCTTTCTTGTATGTGTGCAAGAGAGCTCAGCGAGGAGCTGGTTTATAAAGAACAAGTCCCTGCCATGCCCCTGGTCCCTGATAGGCCTGTCCTTATGCAACTGAGGACTCCAAATATTCTACATTTAGTCCAAAAGATACTTTTATGACTGGCCAGAATGGAGCTCCTCTGATTGGTTTGTAAAGATTTTGGTGGCAGGGCAGAATATACCTACGTAGCTCTGATTAGATAGAAAGGCTCAGTCCTATTGCTTTAGATAGGATTCCGTAAACTTCTTTTCGACTGAGAGATCCCTATGTAAAAATGACTTCTAGGCTCTGTTTATTTTTACTTAAATTTTGAAGCCAGTTAGCCACCAGGAAGCCTTCTTAGTATGTATTGTCTTTGTCAGGGTCCACATATTGAACCTCTGTCAGACAGGGTGTTCTTTTAAGTGGTCAACACAGAATAAGTGGTTCCAGTATGCAATAGAAATTTTCACAGTTCTTCAACTTCTAGAGTACCCTGAGTGAGTCTCCTCAGTGGAGATGATCTTATTCTGCAGAATCTTTTGGGGAGCGACTTGCCCATGTCAATCTTCATATTCAAGGGGCATTTGGAGAGCAGTGCTGCTTCCCACCTACCCTGTGGGGATGAGTGGAACCTCCCTCCTCCAGTGTTTATAGTATGGACACTGGTCCTGCCCTAACTTAGGGGCCTGAGGGCCTTTCCTAAGGTGGGGCCAGGATTACTCACGGGAGGCATTTTCTCTTCAAATGTCACCTGGTCCCAAAAGAATGGCTATTGCCGAAGGAGCAGTCTAGTTTTCATTTTCGTGTCTTTCTTCATTTCATCTGTCCTGTCTGTTACTGAACATGGTAAAGGCTATTTCTATCGATTTGGAAGTGCCGTTTTCCGGTCCTATTGCCCGTTTTTGGAGTCCCTTCCTGTGTCTGGAGCACTTTGAGAAATGAAATAGGTGCCCAGCACTACCTTCCCTCCCTCCCCCTCCACAATCCAGGGAGTATGCTTTTGAAAGTGAGGCAGAAAGTAAGCTGGAAAAATTCCTGGGCAAATGGAATGGGGAAGTTGAGGTAAAATAATTAAACAAGGCCAAACAAACGGAACAACTTACAGCTAGTGAATTGCAAGACCTTATCTTCCCTAACTTGAGAGCAAATGGTTTATGCAAGGGACAAAGCCAGTGGTGATTACTATAGTGGCACCATTTGCCAGCAGGCCTATGACCTGGTTAAACCTGACGGCCATTTCACTCTTCTGAGCTTCTGTCCCCAGGACTGAAAATTACTGGAAAACAAGAATAGAATGTGAGTAACTGCCCCTATGGCTCCAGGCAAAAGGTCACACTGGTGAAAACTGAAGCTTATAGAAAACCACCCACACTTCCTGTTGCAAAACCCCCAGCAGCCCAGAGGCCATACAACAGCAACCCCTTCCACCCTTTTATAATCCAATTAACAACCTAATAAAAGCTCAAAGCACTTACCACCCATGGCTGATGCATATCTCTGCACCTAGCCTTTCCCCTCTCTGGGAAAGTAAAATAAAAACTTTGCTCTCTGTGTTTTCTTCTCTATGTGAATTCTTGCACAGCCTGCATCACAACCACCCTAACAGTTTATACCTCTCCTCCCCAACCAGAGATTATCTAGTTTAAATCATCCTGGTTAAGAAAATAGAGAACAGAGACTTAATTAATGCCACCTGTGACAGCCAAACACAAGGACAGATGAAGTCAGGGGAACAAATAACAGAAACCCGATTATAGCAAGACCCAAGATCAAAGTAAAGCAGTAAAGCTGACCAGAGAATACTCCCAAACCCCCCTATATGCTCATTTTGATACATCAGCATATTAAAAACACACCTGGAAAGCTGATGGATATCCTATTGAAACCCTCCCCTAAGATTCTCCCCAAAGTGGGGGGAAAATAATCCAGACAAAGACCTGGCGAGGGCTCGCTCTACAGCATACCCATACCCCTTCTTGGGCATGGACTTCTTACTGCCTCCTAAACCTTAGGGGTTCCCATGGGATCCTCTAGTGGCAGAGACTTAGAAGCCAGTGTATTAGAGGGGAGGAGTGTCTTGAATGTCATACTTGGACGGGGTAGATTTTACCCTATGAATAGTGTAGGGGAGAAGGTTACAGGAGAGAAACAAGATTAACATATATGTAGAGATGCTCATAAATATTAGTAATCAGAAAAAGAAAAATCACCCTGGCTGGTGTGGCTCAGTGGAATGAGTGCTGGCCTGAGAACCAAAGAGTCACTGGTTCAATTCCCAGTCAGGACACATGCCTGGGTTGCAGGTCAGGTCCCCAGTGAGGGGTGCATTAGAAGCAAACACACATTGATGTTTCCCTCCCTTTCTCCTTCCTTTTTCCGCTCTCTAAAAATAAATAAAATTGTTTAAAGTTTTTTTAAAAAGAAAAGGAAAATCAAAGCAGTAATGAGATGTCACTTTAAGCTGGATACTGTAGGAAACACTGGAAAGCTGAATAATTCTGAGGGTTGCCCAGGATGCTGGGTTTATGTATGACTGGCGCCCTCCTCGTGGGCTGCGGACTAGGCAGCTAATCTGAAGAGCAGCCTGAGACTTCTTAGGTCAACTAAGTAAACATAAGAACCAGCAATTGTGCTTCCAGATATTTTCCAAAAGAAATTCCCACACTATGCGAGTGGACAGAGAAACTGTGGTGCATACGCTCCGTGGAGAACTCTGCAGCATTAAGTGGATTAAACATATAAAAGTGGGAGTAACTGCAAGAACTTTGTCAGTGGAGAAAGGAAACCAGACAACAACCGCCAAATCTAAACTTTCAACCAATTATATTATCTTCTTTTCTAACAGCAAAATTGCCTTACAGAAAATTAGGTATGTGGGAAAAATGCTTGCAGCAAAGATGCTCATGGTGAAAACAGTGAATAGTAATAAGTCACATCAGCTGGGAGTCTATTTGGTTCTTTAAGATGACTACATTTTTCTTGTTTAATCCTGAAAACTCTGGCCCTGCCAAGCTGTTTATTATACTTCATATTTACCTTTATCGTCTGCCTTTATTTCTACATTCTGGCTATATTCTCCCTCCTTCCACAGTGAGTAGAGAGTCTCTTAGAACTAGATTGTGTGCAACAGGCTTCGACTGTGGTTTTTATGTCAAGCTTCAGTCTTCCACACAGACCTCCTTTGATTCTGAAAACATTCCTGTAATCTGAGGAAAAATTCTCAGTAACATTAAGATGAGAAAATTGAACTCTGATAAAGCTAGAATTTGCCACGGTTCATATAGCCTAGAGTATCTATCTGTCTGTCTATCTATCTACCTATCATCAGTCAGTCCATCTGCCTGCCTATTGTCCTCTGATGATTTTGGAGGAAATTATACATGCTTATTTTAAGCAATTCAAACAATTTAGAAGTGCTAAATGAATATAACAATAATCAACATCTATACATCATTCTTGAATTTCTATGAACATTTTTTTCTGATAATTCTCTATACATCCATACATATTATGTATACTAGTAACATTCTGTGTATATAATAATTCTTTGGGCTCCAGTAGAGAGATAACATGTACATTAAAAGCTAAAATATAAAGTTCAGAGTGAAAGGTTGCAATAGAAGAAAATAAGAATGTAGTGGGTGACTCAGGAACATCCAGCCCGGATGCCTGGAAAGATAGTCCCCCTATGCAGAGAAGTGGGGAACCTGGAAAGAAAAGGTAGGACTTCAGAGTGGTCAATTGTGAGACTTGATCACTCAGTGGGATGCCTAAGTGCCTCTGTTACCCTGGTAACAAAGGTAGACCCTCAAAATAAATTCTATATGATCATTTATATACATTCTAGTGGTAGTTCTGATTTCACCCAAGGAGGGAAGAGATGGCAGGTCAGGAGAGGCTTTTGGAGAGTCCCGTGCCACTTGGGTGAAAATGAGAAGGAAGTTATTTTGTTAGCAAAGTGATAAAATAGTATTATATTCCTCATTGTTACAGATGGCGAAAGGCTTTTTAAAAAAACAGCCCTTTGTTAATGCAAAAAGATGCATAATGCATGTTCTGTGCATTTGCATATTCGGCAATATTCAGAGGCTGCGATGCAAACAGAGGGTTCAGTTACCCCATTTCATAGTAGTATTTAGTGGAGTAGCAGGATGGGAATGAGGCCACTGTTGATATTACTGTGAAGAACATGTATAGGTATTGGTTTAAAAACAAGATATCTTGGAGTAATTTAAGAGAAAAAAGAAACATAGCTATTGATTACAAAATTCAATACTATTAAAAATACAGACCAATAATCTGTAAAACAAGCTGACTACGGTTTTTATTCATACATCTTTTTTGTTTACCCTAAATACTTGGGTAAACAAAATAAGCTTTTGTTTACCCAAAACGAAGAGAAAATAAGCTTTTACCTTTTTCCTCTTGTAATATTTTGTATTACAGCAAACTTACTAGGCTCAGTTACCTAATTTTTGTTTCCACTAAACCAAACAAAATTCAACATTGTGGTGAACAAATATAGGGTAGTATATATTGATTCTAAATACTTTTGTTTCATTAAAAGAAAAAAGTGTTACACAGATCAGTGGTTCTCAAATCTTAAAATGTGTATCAGAATCACCTGGAGGGTTTGTTAAAACATAGATAGGTTTTACCCCCCAGAGGTTCTCTCATTTAATAGGTATGGGCTGGGTCCAAGATGTTGTAGTTCTAAAAAGTTCCCAGGTGATCTGATGCTTCCAGCTAGATTATAGCTCACACTTTGAAGCACTAGCTTAGCCAGTGGATTGTTTTCCCTCCACTCCTCCCATTATTCTTTGATTTCTCTTCAAATCTTTAATATGTTCTTCTCCAGAGTATCTCAGTGAACCTCAGATATATTCAACCTACATTGCCTTTAAAGTTAAAAAAAAATCAGTGACATTTGCAATAGGAATGCTATCAGTTGCAACTGAGATTTTAATTGAAAGGGAAAATGAAACATCTTTAACACCAAACCCTCTGATTTATTTCTCACCTGGAGCTTTTCCCAAACATTGTTCTTGTAACTCTTTCCCTGGTCCTCCTCCCTCTCCCCTTCACTGTGTATCTCAGGAAGATGCAAGGCATTCTGCCCCTTATTCAAAGCCTGACACAAGCCCCAACTCCACAGCCATGCTTTCCCACTTCCCAGCGGCCAGTGACTTCTGTCATTACCATATTCTAGTGGAAGGATTGCTATAGTAATTATCATCTATATTTATCTATTTAATGTTAAAAATTTTGTATTGTTTTCTGCATTTCTTAAGATTTTATTTATTTTTAGAGAGGAGAAGTGGGGGAGAAAGAGAGGGAGAGAAACATCAACGTGTGGTTGCCTCTTGAGCATCCCTACCTTAGCCCTGGCATGTGCCCTGAATGGGAATTGAACCCACAATACTTTGGTTCACAGGCCCACACTTAATCCACTGAACCACACCAGCCAGGGCTGTTTTCTAGATTTCTTAGCATACTCAATTATATGCTACCATGTGGTATTCAACCATATATGTAAGTATGTATGTATATATTTTATTTATGTTTCTTCTCCATTCTGATAAGCTCCTAGAGGGTCAGTCACGTCCTTTGACTTAAGCACCTTGTTTTAGACCTAGTTCACCTTCAAGTGTTTGGTTCTAATGAGAACAGCTGAATACAGAGGAACAGCTGGCTTTTCTTTTGGGAGCTGACATAATTTCTTTTTTCCGTCAACTACTATATAGCCAAGTTTAGCTGTAAAATTATAGGGGTAGAATGCTGAAAATGTCTTTTACTTAGAAATGTAATAGCTTATAAACTATAATTAGGCTTAAGGAGTAGCGGGGTAAACCTACCACATTTCAAGAAAATATAGAAGCGGTAGTACAGAGAATGACTTTACTCATTACTGTGCAGATACAGAATAATTTATTTGCTCTTGCCTCACCAGTGATTAAATTGTACTTTCTATATTGATGGTGGATATATTCCTGCAGGCCTCTCATTCCTAACTACAACAGCCCCTATCGGGAAAGTTACACATGTGAATCGTTACTTGAAGATTTGCTTTCAAGTCATTAAGATTATTAATTTGTTTTGCTATTATAGGATATCGTCTCTGCATTTCTATCTTTACAGCATTGTCCCTGAAAGACAATTATCTCATAGGTCTTTGACTAAATTTCCTTGAATGTAGTACCAAGTAACCAAAATCTTTTAAAAAATGTAAGGTACAGAAGACGCTTGTGAGACTTTTTATTGAACACCAAACACAGGAAACCAAGACTTTCTACACACTGGTCAGACAACTGCCGTTTTACAGTTGCACTGAAGAACTCGACTTGACATCTGCCCCACCCTGTGTTGGGCTGTTTGAACGGTTGATAACTGGATTTGATGAATTTGCAAGTACTCCTGCATCTTTTCAAGTGAGCACATCACAAAACTGCATCCTTAGTTCAGGCCCTTGGAGCCACCTGGCTCACCCCCCAACAGAAGAGGTGGAAATGAAGCCCAGGTTACAAGACTCAAAAATGATTAAGAGGCAGAACTTCCATGTAGATCATAAACCTGCGGCCGCCTTCCCGCTTTGCTCAAACGTGGCCAAACTGGAGATAAGAGGGTCAATTGACCTCTCCTGGTTTTCCTTTCCCACAGCCTAGTTTAACAAGCGATCACACTAACAACTTGAAATACTGCTTCAACCTGGAGCATTGAACGGCTTAGGCTTTTAAAGCTTAAGTTAAATTAAAGGGAGCTCCTGAAACTTAGGCGGCCACTCCACGAACACACACTTGCCAGTAAGTCCTAAAGGAAACTACTTACATTGCGAAATCAGGCCTACAGCTCCTTCAAAATACACATGGGTGGCCCTAAAAAGGGCCTTTGGGACTGTCACGTTTTAGGATTCAACAGACTTAACCTCCAAAGCCATACAAAGTGCGTCCCTGTCGCTTCAGGGCGTACACCACATCCATGGCAGTGACCGTCTTGCGCTTGGCGTGCTCCGTGTAGGTCACCGCGTCCCGGATGACGTTCTCCAAGAACACCTTCAGGACGCCCCGGGTCTCCTCGTAAATGAGGCCCGAGATGCGCTTCACTCCCCCACGCCGAGCGAGACGGCGGATGGCGGGCTTGGTGATGCCCTGGATGTTATCTCGCAAGACTTTGCGATGACGCTTGGCGCCACCTTTGCCCAAGCCCTTACCTCCCTTGCCTCTCCCAGACATGATAACTCCAATCTGACAACAAAAGATCTCAGTGCCCGGGTGGCCAGCTCGGCCCCTGATATACAAGAGTATCGGACCGGATTGAAAACCTCAAGCCATGGGCGGGAAGCCGTCAAAATCGTCCCCGCCCAACCGCAGTTTTTTATTTCATTGCTCACGCGTCCTATACCTTCCCCCTCCACACACCGCCCTCTAGCGGCCCTGTCTGCCACAACCAGGTCCCAAGCCGGGGCTTCCGGATTCCGCAGCTGTTTTCCTTCGGTTCTCGCTACCTATCCTGTAACTCTTTCTAGATCTCTAAAATCGACTCTTTTCAGCCAGGATTTTGTTTTCAAATTGAGGCCCCACACAGAGCCCAGAAATTTGCCGAAACGGGTTTCTCAAGAGGAAGGACAACTGCTCCACATTGAGTCATTACCAGAAACTGCCCAGTTGATTGGGATCCTTACTGATACCATGTTCATTACCAGGGCCTTCTGTAGGCAAGTCCATGAGAAGATGTGGTTTCTCCATCATAAAGAAGCAGAGTTTTTCTGAGAAAGGATTCTTTTATTTTATTTGTTTACTCATGTATTCAAACATATTGCATGCCTTCTTTCATCTCTCCTTTGGCTCCAACTACCTTCTGTATGCCAATGTGTAGTAATGAATTTCAAAGCGGTATTTTTATCCAGATTTCTAGGCTTCAGAGCTGTACATCCATCCCGGCTGTTGCTCTTCATTCATTTTTAAACTCAAAACTCAAACTCCCCAAAAATCAAATTTTAAAATGAAAATCTCTAAGGTGCAACTGCCATGGGGGCTGAGAAGATTTATTCCCTCACACCTACCCCTTTTCTCCGTCTGTTCACTGAATGATACCACTGTACATCACATGTTTAAAACAGCACCTTGAAATTCACAGATGTTGAGGGGTAGTAGAAGATGCCACCCCAAAATAAGACTAGTGGTTCAGGACATGCCGAACAAAAATGCTGCTTTGGTATATTGATTTTTTTGAGCCATAGGTACTTAAAAAATAAGAAATGCTAGGACAAGGCCCTGGCTGGTGTAGCTCAGTGGATTGAGCGCAGGCGGGCCTGTGAACCAGACAATTGTGGTTGGATTCCCAGTCAGGACACATGCCTAGGTTGCAGACCAGTTCCCTGCAGGCCAGTTCCCAGCAGGGGACGCACGAAAGGCAACCATACATTGATGTTTCTCTCCCTCTCTCCTTCCCTTCCCCTCTAAAGATAAATACATAAAAAAAAAAAAAAAAAAAGAAATGCTAGGACAGACTTTTGAACTCCCCCTATCTGAGTAAAGACAGGTCCCCCCACCAAACTCAATTGCCTGGGCTGAAGAATTAAATAAGACTGATCAAAAGGAATAAAGCATACAAATTTTAATGTTTGTATTTGTACACAGTAGCCTTCAGAAGGAAATTAAGACCTGAAGAGCCCATTGAGCCCCAAGTGTGTACATCCCTTCTAAAAACCATGATTCTGAGGCTGGGGCTGGGACAGCAAATAGTGGGACAACAGCCAGGATACGTATGGGGGTAAGTCGTGGAAAATATGGGTTATTTTAGTGGATTGGTTTGTACAGCTCCATTTTGATGTTAATTCCATGACTCTGATGTAATGAATATTCTTCTCTTCCTGGTACCGGAAGGGTATCTCTCAAGTGGGAAATTTTATGAGCTACTTTTAGATAAGAGGGGCGGGTCAGAGAGCCCTTCCTGCATCAGCTGTTTCTCAAGTTCCTTCAGCTCAAAATCAATTTACCAAAGTGGCATGTTTGGGGGAAACATGTTCTGCATCCCACTAAACTCATAGCTGCTATAGGGAAGGTGAAATTTCACTTCTGCTGTTAGAGTTTTTGGCTGGGCCCGAGAATGAAATTAATGGGAGACATTAACAGGAGGACGCATACACATTTACATACTGTAAGTTTTACTTTCCACTGGAGTCCTTGTCAAGAACTGAAGGATCAAAGACTCGGTTAGAGCTGAACACTTACATACTGAATTGGACACAGACTAGTCAATTGGGAAAATGTAACATGGCAACAGGGTTTGAATTGGTGCATTAACAGTGGGAAAGTGACCGGGAAGATAAGGGTTAGTTTAACAAGATTCATTTGAGGTTTCTGTCAGCTTTGCACCTGCTGTTCTTCAAGTGAATGTAGGCATGTCATATTCTGCCACTGATGGGGTACAGGACACACTACACCAAAATATGGCCCCTTCGCGTATTAAATATTTTAATGTGGCCTTCCATATTAAAGTGGTCTTCCCACGGAATTTCCCCCCTGAAACGGGTCATAAAACCCTCTTATGTGCGATGCCCTGCCTAGATCTAGAGGAAAGGAGCATTCCTATCTTTAAAGGCAAAGGGACACACAGAAGGGCCCCCACAGGCCTTGCACTTTTCCCCAGGTTCCTATATTTACCTCATGCTCTGTAACCCGTCTCATTTTTACATGACTGCCCACACTTCATTAAACCTAGCACAAAAATACTCAAGTATAACTGTCTCTTCAGATCTTCATTTCTGTATGAAGATTTCTGTGTCACGTAAAACATATGAAATAAATTCATGTGTTTTTCTCCTGTTAATCTGTCTTTGGCAGTTTAATTTTCAGATCCAGCCAGGGACCCCAAGAGGGTGGAGGAAAACTTTCTCCCTCTCTTCTACCCACCCCTCACTGTATAGTACAGGCAGTAGTGTTTTCAGTAAAGGGGAAGTTTTTAATCCAATGAGCAGTATGTTAAGGGAATGAATTGTCTCAGAATGGGATCATGAAAGAAGCTCAAAATCCTGTGGCTTCTCAGTTTGGCCCAGGGCTGCAGGCTGCTCAAGACAAAAGGGAATCAGGCGTCTCCTCTTGGTGGGACCTGAAGCCCTGAGGGTACTTGAATCAAAGATTAAGTCCAAACTGTCTTCCCGGAACACATATCTTAATTTAGTCCATTACTTTTTAAATTAACAACAAACCTATGAACATATAAAACATTAGGAACCTAATAATTCACCTGTAAAACATTTTCTTTTGCCTGCTTATTTCCTATGGTGAATTTGAAGCTTCTCAGGCCTGTGTTTCCCCCGTCACGGTGCTGAATTATAAAATTTCAGTGCCTAATCTTGAAACTGCTGATTCTTATTAACAATGGTAAAAGAAACTTCAGAAGTATTAGGAAGAAATAGTCCCTCTTCCCCACCGCTGCAGCAAAGCAACGGTTCTTCTGCATTATAAACTTGCTTCTGATAAAGTAGCTATTGAGAAATATCACTGAAATACCACTCTATTTACCAGTGTGGAGACTAGGTGAAACTGAACTAACACGGACCTGAATTCTGTTATTAAAAGTGATTTCTAAGGGAACCACACATCACAGGTTGTTATATTTTGACAAGTGTTACCTGTGTGACAGGATGGTGAAAAGCTAGGAAAATTCCTGAGCAAGCAGAATAGGGAAACTGAGATAAGAAAATTAAACAAGGCCACACAGTTTAAGCAACGTATAGCCAGCTGATGATTGCAAGACCTTCTCTCCCGGAACCAAGGACACTTGAGAGTGAATGGTTTGTGTCTCTCCTCTCTGACCAGAGAACACCTAGCTGAAATCTCTCTGGTCTGGGAAAAGAGAGAACAGACACCCAGTTAATGTCACTTGTGCCAGTTCAAACCAAGGTCAGACGAAGTCAGGGGAACAAATAACAAAAACCCCATTAAAAGCCAGACAGACCCAAGATAAAAGTAAAACATAACCGACCAAAGAATATTCCCACACCCCTGTATATGCTCATTTTGACACATCAGCATGAAAAATGCACCTGAAAAGCTAATGAATGTTCTGCTGACAGCTTCCCCTATGATTCTCACCCACAGAAAAAAGATACGAAGCCCTCAGGACAAAGACTCAGGGTGTTTAGCTGTAGAGCACGCCCCTCCCCCTTCCTGGGCATGAACTTTTTACTTCCTCCTAAACTCCAAGGGTCCCCAGGAGACTTGCAGCCAGGGGACCACTGGGCAGCCACAGCTGGCCCTGGGCTTACCCCTGATCCTGTCTTCAAGCCCCCTTGTTTTCTCTCACTTTGCTGTGAGCTAAAAGCAGTCCTGCTGGCTCACCACTCCTTTCCTGTAACTTTTCTAGGGAGCCAAAGCAGAGCACTGCCTTGGCTCTCTCCTGTTACTTCTACCCGAAGTCCTTCCTTTGTTTTACTGTCCCGGCCTTAATAAATGTACTCTCAAAATCACCTGGACTCCTGTTGTGAAGTCTTTCCTACACAAAGTCAAGAACTCACACACTACAGGCCGGCCTGAGGCAGACCTGCTCCAGGCTGGTCCCTGTCCAGTAACACATATACTTCTTAGAAGTTGACTATTCTGATTGATTATTGTATTTGATATCTTGTCCTGGAATTAATATTTAAATTTGCATCTCTTTTCTGAAGAGTAAAAATTCTTATGCAATTCCTTTATTAAGCCAGAGAAAGTGTCTTGGGATTTTCTTTTCTATGTCCTAAAGGTAAAATAAATCCCATGACTTTTGGATTCTATATGAATACACAGCTTGAGAATCTTTTTTTTTTCCATATAAAGTGCATACATTAGAAAAAAGAACAACCCCTGCCTCCCCTGCCAATAACAAAAACAAAAACAAAAACATTGCAAAGAAATGTGACATTTGGGCTCGCTGCTTTGGGCTGTCATCTAGATGCCATAATTTCTTCTGATTGGAATAGTTCAGTGGAAGAAGTTTGAGACACATTAAGTGATGTGATTACATGACAGGAAAGTTCATCAGAGTTTTAAAAGGTACCCCGAGTCTGATGAAACTGGAAATCCATTATCATTTCATTCTCTTACTTTAGAATATTATGCAGGCCTGGTTACTACCTGAGACAAGCCATAATTTCTCTGAGGCTATTTCTTTATCTGTAAAATGAGGAAAGTAACATCTATTTCACAGAGTTGTGATTAAATGTGATGGTGCATAGAGAAGAATTTGAAAATACTGATTTGTGCTCTATAGATGTAAGGCATTGTTACAAACCACCACAGGAAGGCGTAACAGCTATTCACATCAGGTGTAGTTTTGCCTGACATTGGAGATCTTTTCTCTAGAATAGGAGATTGCTACTGCCCCAGGGGCTCGTGGAGATACAAAGACACCAAATTGCTACATTGTGTTTAGTGTTCAGGAAATCCCCTCACAATCACTTATTTCACTTTGACTTCTGCGGGAAGATAATCATGCATATTGACTTCAAGGTAAGTTGTAAACTTTTTTGGCTTGCTTTAGTTCTCAGGTTTGAGTTTTTACAAGGTTTGGATTCAGTGCTCTTTCAATAAAACAGGCAGCTGTCTCAAAATTTTATATTTATTACAACTTTAAGCATTGGTAACCTTACATAAGTGCTGTTTTATGGCATGCAATTTTCTGAGCAATACTTCAAAGCATATGAAATAATGAAAAGGTCTTTGATCTTCAATTTCCTCATAGAGAAAGCTTTTAAGCCTTAGAAAATGCCGTAGTGAAGGACATATGCGGGCAATTTAGTAATTTGTTTTGAGTCTTTAACTTTTAGTCTGACTGAAATGTAATTGGGCCATTTAGAAACTATTCACCACTGTAAGGGAGGAATTAACATTTCTGGTCTTATCTTTGATTTGGGTTTCATCTGTAACACCTACATGATCATTCAAATGGATTGAGAGAGCAGCATTCCAGTGGGAAAAGGCTACAGAAAGGCAGAAGACTAGGCAAGTTCCACCAGGTCAGCATAGGCCTTGCACGGATTCTGAAGTCAGGTAAATGCAATTGAAACTTTTGGTTCCTTCCATTAAGTATTGTTTTGCTGAACCTCAGTCATAATGCGCTTAGCACAGTGTCAGGCACTGAGTAAGTATTAACTGTGGGAAAGGCATTACAGTAACTCATGACTGGAAATACAGGCTGTGACCCAATCTGATGTGGACACTGGCCCGCAGTGTCCGAGTCATTATGGATGAAATGAGACATTTACACAGACTACTGAGTCCTGCGGAGGAAAAGGGACAGCATAGCTTCTCTCAAGCGGAGCAAAGCCTTGGCTCTTGCAGTGACTGGCCTTTATTAGGTTTCTCTGCACATTACATGATGGTCCTCATTTACTATGCACAGGTTGCTGTAGATGGTTACCTTTTACAGAAAACAATGGACCAATGCCATTAATCACATCCCAGAAGAGGGATATTTGCAAATGAAAAGGCAAAAGTGGTTGAACCAGTTACCCTGGTCCTAGGAAGGTTTAGCACAGATTTTAGGAAGTTATTTTGCAGTAAATGTTTGCCACTGGGGGCTGGGCCCACACCAGGCAGAATAGTCTCCTATACTAGTCCATGGGAGGGCATACTTGTATTTCTAAGAAACCTGTTAAAATATAAGCTCCAAATGTGCAAAACCACTTTGTAATGTGCTCTTATAAGAATTACACCAATTTAGTCCTGGCTGGTATAGTTCATTTGATCGAGTGTGAGGGTCACCAGTTTGATTCCCAGTCAGGGCACATGCCTGGGTTGCAGGCCAGGTCCCCTTAGGAGACATTGATGTTCCTCTCCCCTTCTTTCTCTTTTCCTTCCATTCTCTAAAAATAAATAAATAAAATCTAAAAAGAAAAAGAATGATGCCAACTTAAAGGGAAGATCTTTTTGTAAAGAGATTAGTGTAACAATATCCCAGTAAGGATTGAAATCTAGCCAATGAAATCACAGTTCTGAAAATTCCTGGTAGCTTTTTGGCCCAATCAAGGCAAGGTTATGTGTATAAATAAGCTTGTCTAGGCCACGTAGAATAAAAGCGGCGGCGTCATGGCGCGTACTAAACAGACTGCGCGCAAGTCGACCGGTGGTAAGGCCCCGCGGAAGCAGCTGGCCACCAAAGCGGCTCGTAAGAGCGCACCGGCCACAGGCGGCGTCAAGAAGCCGCACCGCTACCGCCCGGGCACCGTGGCGCTGCGCGAGATCCGGCGCTACCAGAAGTCGACCGAGCTGCTGATCCGCAAGCTTCCCTTTCAGCGCCTAGTACGCGAGATCGCGCAGGATTTCAAGACCGACCTGCGATTCCAGAGCTCGGCCGTCATGGCGCTGCAGGAGGCGAGCGAGGCCTACCTAGTGGGGCTCTTTGAAGACACCAATTTATGCGCTATCCACGCCAAGCGCGTCACCATCATGCCCAAAGATATCCAGCTGGCTCGCCGCATCCGTGGGGAGCGGGCTTAAAATGCCGGCTTAAGCAAACATCCAAAGGCTCTTTTCAGAGCCACCCACGTTTTCTTGAAAAGTGCTGTACCGGGTTTTCACTTACGCCGTATCACATCATACCCCAGTGTTGTGGGTAATGGTACGTTTATCAAAATCCTGATTTGGTTCTACCAGTAACATTTTCGGAGGTGCTGTCTCAATGTTAGCATAAATATGAGTGCATAAGTTAACATCTTTTGGAAAGCAAAAGTATTTTCGGATTCTCTGGGTTTTAAATTGTGGTTTCTGGAGCCATGCTGGATGTTAGGTTAAAATCCTTGTTTCCCAGGTAGTTCGTTAGGATTTTAACTAGTAAGAATGGGGTAAGAGACATGGTAATGGGTTCGTAGATGCGTAAGATCCCGAAGACGGGAGTGAATAGAGACCAGTTACTTACATTACTAAGCCTTTTATTGGTCGTTTAAGAAGTATGTAAGTCCAATTTTTACTTTAGTATGTTCCTCACTGCATAATACAGGTGGCATAAACCAAAATGGAAACTTCAGGGAAATAATGCCTGGAAATTTAAAATAAAATGCACAGAGCAAAACTGCAAGACTAAGATACTTAACGTGCCTAGCCGGCGCTGCAGATCCCTTCCATAAATTAGTCTACCTGGAAAGTGAAAGCCAATAGCAAACAAGGCCCCCAAACTAGAAACTATCACTTGACATAATTTACTGGTTAGTGTGAAGTGGGACATTTTGATTGGCTAACAAGACTTTTGTTTAATGACCACTGAGGGAAAGCGAGCAGTATCTTATTTACATGAGCTCCACCTCTGTGACGCCACTGTTGGAAGTTAACCAATGAAAACTCAGTACTGTGAGAGTCTTCATTTGCATGTAGGCTCTATAAGAAGCGCGCAGCTAACTCTGTTGTACTCGCGGTTGGTTCTACTGGTGAGTGGCGTTTGATTCTCGTGGAAATGCCGGATCCTGCAAAGTCAGCTCCTGCTCCCAAGAAGGGCTCTAAAAAAGCTGTTACGAAAGTGCAGAAGAAGGATGGGAAGAAACGCAAGCGCAGCCGGAAGGAGAGCTATTCTGTGTACGTGTATAAAGTGCTGAAGCAAGTTCACCCGGACACCGGCATCTCTTCCAAGGCCATGGGCATCATGAACTCCTTCGTCAACGACATCTTTGAGCGCATCGCCGGCGAGGCTTCCCGTCTTGCGCATTACAACAAGCGTTCCACCATCACCTCTCGGGAGATCCAGACGGCTGTGCGTCTCCTGCTGCCCGGCGAGCTGGCCAAGCACGCCGTGTCCGAGGGCACCAAGGCGGTCACCAAGTACACCAGCTCGAAGTAATAGTGCGCAGGAACCATAATAGAACAGCTACTTTTTACCCCAAAGGCTCTTTTCAGAGCCACTTCAATTTCAAGAAGTAGCTGTAAACGCTTGTAAGATTGGTAAGCTGTTGGATAAGTGGGTCGGGCTCGTGGTCAGGGTATTTGGTTGGGTCTTAGGGTAAGCCTGGGACTGTGATAAAGGCTACTTAGCTAATTAAAACTAGGGAATCTTCTGTAGTTCAGTGGTGCCTAGTGGTATGAGTCTTAGTGGTATTAAGTGGTTTGTTCTAAGTGGTCGGCACTTAACTGGCATTTTAGTAGAAGTGCACAGAACCCGGAGTATATCGTTTCAACCTTTGAGTGGTGAGGGCTCTTGCCGCTCCGTGTCCCTAAGTGTGCTCTTCAAATAGGTGCTGAAGCTTTTCTCTACCGCCTACAGATGGAGACTTCCACTTAACCTGCTTCTAAAAGTCCAACCGATGAGTACAGATGTAGCCACCTTATCCTATCTTGCTCAGTAACTACCAGGCATCTTGTCCCCCACTCCATGGGCCATCTGGCAATAACCAGAGACACATGCTCGTCATCACTTGAGAAAGGGGTTCTGTGCTCACTACTTGAATTTAGCGGGTAGAGGCCAAGGATGCTGCTATAGTAAGTATCCTGTAATTCCTAGGATGGCTGGTAAACAATCTGGTCCCCTCCTGTGTAGTGTGAGAACCAAATTCCTTTCAGAATTTACTTAGTCCTTATTTTAAGACTTCCCTCACTCCTACCCAGCCAATACTGTTGGTGAAAGCTGAGCAGTACACAGACTTCCCATCTCTGCAGGAAAAGAACCACCTTCGTGCCTTTGAGACGTCCAGGTGCCTCCCCTGGAGCTTCCTGATGAGGCGGAAATGGGCGATCGTCTTTTAGTGTCCCCAGGTGTTTTGTTCTCAATTGGGTTCTGAGGGTAGGATGTACAAAAGTCCACAGTTAACACGTGGGGTGAGCTTTTAAGGACCTCTCTTGTTCAAAACTTGCATAACTCAAGACTAATTCTGACAAAGGTTTGGTGTTTTACCAAATAAAATCTACCCTCAAGGCAAAGGAAATTCTTAGTTTCCAATTCACTTGATTTGATAGGCCTTGAAATGAGGCCATTCTTGACAAATTTGGAGGAATTTACATGAAATCTTGTGCTTAAAATGAATTTTACTAAATTACAATTTAGGAGTTTAAACTTACATCCAGTTAACAGTTGTATAGATTGGACTGTAATATAATTCTCACTGGTAAACTGGACTTCTCAGTGAGTCATCTTATGATGGGAAAATTCACTCAAGAAATGAGGCCAAGGTGTTCTATCTACGCAGTCAAAGAGTTATGTCTAGTCTCACCTAGTATCTTAAAGTCTAGATGCTCTCTCAAGTACTAGGACAATATTTCTCAGTTTTTTGAAGCGTTAGAGCATTGTCAATTTGCTCACTTAACCAAAAGCTGTCATTATCCATTAAAATTAAACCCTAATTCCTTATCCTGAAACTAAAGGCCTCCTACCAACTGACCAAAACTTCAATTACTCTTTTTCACCAGTCCTCCGTTTTATACCTCTCTTAAACATCTCTTTGTGCTTCTATCATCATTTTTTTTTTTTTTTTTTTTTTTTTTTGGTAATCAGCTGTCCTTCAAACGGTTCAAACCCTATCAGTCTGCTAGTTCTTTAGAATCGTGCTCAAATCTCTCTGTAAAGCCTTCCCATCCCATTCTAGTTCACAGGGAAGTCTGTTCTTTTCTCTTAAGGTTTTGTTCTTTGCACAATGAATTCACAAATCATGTAGCTCACAAATCGTGTAGCCTTGTTCCTTATCTTTTTCATTGTTTTTCTTGTGTTTTCTTTGACTACTTAGAATCTTCCACAAAGTCTATCTCAGTGTCTATTATAAAACACTTTCTCACTGAAAGTTTGACTGACTGCCCAGGCCATAGATGTAGAACCCAAATTGATCTCAGGATGGAATTTTCAAGTATGCCAATAAGTACTGTCCTTCATTTTTTCTTGCTCCTTTAAGCTGGAAAATTCTTCTGAGTACCTTTAATAATTGACCCAGTTAAAACTCCTGTTAGAGATTTAAAAATCCTGAGAGGGGAGATAAAGTAGGGCATTTTATAGCTTCCCTTCAGCCAATGTAGGTTTGTGGCCAAAACATGAGATTAGGGTGGAGCTTTTGCAGCCTAGGGTGAGGTGCTGCTTTTCCAATGCTGTAAAAGCAGGATGAGGGGGAAGGGGCATTTCAGCAGATAAAAAAGGGGAATGGAATAAAGATGAGGATCTTTACATAATGGGCCCAGAATGCAAGCAGTGGAAGTGTAGAAACTGGTTTGCCTGATCAGGTCAAATGTCATCCAGATTGGTAAAGTCATCTTTTTAAGGACTAGTCAGTGGACTATGGTATGTATAGAAATTTCTAAAAATGACAGTTTAATCTTCTGTGATGACTTTTAGACAAATATTTCATTTTTTAAATGGGTGCATTTCCTAAAAGTGATGCAAAAGTCAAGCAGGCTCTTTAGACAAATCACCTGGTTTGTAGTGTAGCCCTTCTCTTTTATCAGTGAGATTAAGGCAAGTTTTTCTGTTTGTGTCTTCATCTTTAAATTGGGGTAATAGTAATTCTTACTTCATAATGCTTTTATGAAAGGTAAAGAGTAAATACATATAAAAATGCTTAAACTCGACAATAAACATTTCCAGTGTTAGCTGTTGTTGTTAGTAGGGAAGTCCTGTTGAGTGTTAGGCCAGTTTTTGCATCTCTGATGTACCAGTGGTAATATCTACTAATTCAAGATCGTGTACAAACACATGTTGCATTTCTCCCATCTTCCACCTCTAATTTAGAGAAGATTGACCAAAAAAAAGTTGGCAGATGGGAGAAAAGTTCAAGAACAATTATTTAAAGATCTTAGAAATTTAAAATGTGGATATTGATACAAAAATTCAACAACAGAATTGAATACAAAATAGAATAGGAATAGCTACAAGAAAATAGGGAGCTGAAAGATGAAGCCCAGAAAATCTTCCCCCAAAAGCATGCAAAAAGATATAAAGATGGAAAATAAGAAAAGAAAATTCAGATGTTACAAAAACAAGATTCAGATGTTACAAAATTTATCCAATAAGAATGTGAGAAGGAAAGAATAAACATAATGTAAGAAATAACACACAGGTCTACCAAACAGTGTTCAAATTAGAGCTATTTAAATTATAAAGTTTGTGACTAGTGTCCCCAAAGTTATGCAGGGACAGCCTAAGCAGCCATACAGAAAATTTCTTGCAGGAAAATTTTAAAGACTATTTCACAGAATCATATTTGCATACATCCTCAGACTGTGAAGTCCCATTAAATGCTGGGCATAGAAAGATAAATTAAAAGGTCCTTCACCTAGAGACTTAATGTTAAATTTCATAACACAAGAGTTAAGGAGATGACACCCTGGGAAAATTCTTACAAAGAAACAGGAATCAAGTTTATATCAGACTTATTTCAGCAATGCTGTATACATGAGAAAGTAATAAAACAGTATTTTTTTTTAATCTAGGGAAAATAATTTAGAAACTAAATTTCTATATCCAATTAAACTATTATTTAAGCGTGGATAATTTTTAAGACTCTTTTGAAAGAATTTCTGGAGTTATATTCCAGCAAGAATAAGAAAAAATTCTAAGAGGAAGATATGGGGATGAATCAAAGGTTCAACTAACAAGATACGATACACATACCAAATTACCTGCAATACAAATTTAAAAAGAAATGTGTCATAAATGATATATGTAAAGTGTTGTGAGGTCAGATACAGGTATCAATGTGATAATCAGGGCCACACGAGAAGCATCGATTTATTGAATCTATCAGATCTGTACCAAAATTTCTCCTCTGTTTTGATTAGTAATTCAAGTTTGAATTTTAAGATTTTTGTTTAGGTAAGGCTGTGATCACAAAATATTTTACATTTATGTTCTCTGCTCCACATTTTACTTACTGTTTTGAAGAAACAAGAACTCAAAACTATTAGAGTGACTTCAAATACAGACATCTTTTTGTGTGGCTACCCCTCCTCATTAATTTTTTTTTTAAATCTGGAATTCAAATTCTAGGCTATTTGTCATGGGTTGACAAGAGTGAAGAGAAATGAACAAGCTAGGTAAGAATTACATTATATTCAGGAAGAGGATATGGATATCATTATTCTAGAAGTTGTTAGAAAAGCATAGGTTTACATATATATAAACAATATACGAAGCTTGTCCAAAAAATATCCAGCCACATGATGAAAAATAGAAACATTTATTGAAGATACCAGAAACATTATACATAGCACAATGATGCCTCAGTCCCCTTCAAAGTAGGCACCTTGGGATCTCACACAGTTCTCCTAATTGCCATCAGCTGCCCTATTGTATTTTCCTCACTCTCATGGATGGTCTGAAATCTCTTCCCTTTCAAAGGTGACTTTAGCCTTGGCTGGTGTGGCTCGGTGGACAAAGTGCTAACCTGTGAAACAGGTTGTAGGTTGAGTACCAGTCAGGGTACATGCCTAGGTTGTAGGCCAGGTTCCCAGTTGGGAGTGAGAAGGAACTGATTGATGTTTCTCTCCCTCTCTTCTTCCCCCTCTCTAAAAATAAATAAATAAATAAAATCTAAAAAACCAAAAAAAAAACTAAAAAAACCCCAACAACAAAGGTGATTTTAGTTTTGGGAAAAGCCGGAAGTTGCAGGGTGCCAAATCTGGGCTGTAAGGGGGCTGAGTCACCTGGGTGATTTGATGTTTTCCTAAAAAAACTCTGCATGAGATGTGATGAATGAGCAGGTATGTTGTGATGAAGCTGCCAATCACCATTTGCCCACTGTGGCCTTTGGAATCATCCAAATAGTTTCTGTGGGGAAATGTTCAAGCTTAATGCAAAATTTGATGTAGATTCATTTTGACAGCCACACAGTACACATGTTCTCTCAAGAGTATCTGACTGACTAGTATAGTGAAGTTGTCATTGTTTACGCATGTGCATTCCAGTCCACTCTCCTTGGCTGCCAGGTTTCATCGATGAGCAAACCAACCGTTCTCACTATATTAACAATGGCTGGACTTTTTCTGGACAGACCTCATATATGTATATGTATAAAAAGCACTAGAAGAGAGATATTTCAATCCCCAAAGCAGCAATTCAGTAAGTGATCATAAATTGTTTGCTCTTAGACATAACACTCATGCGTATATTCAGATGAATGTGCATACAGAAATTTTTAATAAATTAACAATCAGTGGTTATATGTTAGTATAGATATACCTTTCTCAGGGACTGACAGATCAAGTTGACTAAAACTCATTGATCTAGAGGATTTGAAAAACACAGTTACCAAGATTAATCATAACTATATGTAAAATAGAAAAAGTGCGTAATTCCGAAATTCACGTGGAATACTGGTAGAAACTAACCATGTGTGAGATGGCAAATGAAAGCTCAACAAGTGTTGGAAAAAGCTGAAACCATGCAAGACATATTTACTAATCATAATGCAATGAAATAACTGAAAATGCTCTCCCTGATGTATACTGTTAAAGAAAAGCACATGAGTTAAAGGGGGATATCACAATAAAATTAAACACTTTTTCAAAATAGAGCGCCATACATTAAAACCTATGCTAAGAGATCAGAAGAAAATCATAGCTTTAAATTTTACTTATGGGGAAATAGAACTATTAAAAATAGTGTATTAAGCTTTTAACTGAAAAGCTAATAAAGGAGGAAAGAAACAGAAATGAATGGAATAGATTATACTAACCCACTCCCCTAAAGTAGAATTAAGAGATAAAACAAAAATCTGGTTCTCTGAAAGGAAATGAAAGGGTTAATTCTTCAGTAAATTAGTACTGAAAGAGAAACATTATGCAACTATCAGCAACATGAGACACAGAAGATATTGAAATTGGTATGTATGTTTGATAGATATTTTTGCAAATATATACAAATATTTAAAATATGAATAAAATCTGCCCTAAGAAAAATAGACCATCTGAATAAAATATAGCTATAGGAGACACTGAAAAGATAGGCAAATAGCTACCCTTGAAAAAGCACCAGGCCCAGACAATTTTACCAGACTTTGAGAGGAGAGATTAATATTTATATTATATAAAGTTGATGAAGATAATGAAATAAGATGAAAAGCCACCTGCTTGTATTATGAGGCAATGACACTGAGAGATTAAGTTGTTAACCCCTGCAAGTTAAATAAAAGTGTTTGGTACAAACAAATCATCTATAAACATTAGATATCATGGGGCCACAATACAAGATTTCAAAGTGGAATGAGAGATAATTAGGGTAGGAAACTGCAGTGTAAGGAGCTATTAAGTGTAGGGTAAAGATTTCAATTGTAGTTTATTGTGTCCAAAGCCTAAGAAATTTTAACATATGATTCAATTAAAGTTAGAAAATGATTATTTTCTAAAATAAATATGGCACTTAGAACCTTGTTGTAAATACCTATTTCTTCTCTCCAAGGCTTTACTCTGCCCTTCCAGAAGAAGACACAGCCACACTCCACCCGACTGCTGTTTTACTGGGGACCCTGTCAATGCTTCCTTCAAGTTAAATTACCTTCTCCGAGAGCACCGCCTGTGGGAAGTTTATTTCTCCAGAATGTGTAGACCAATTATTTCTAGTGTTTCTTAGAGATATTTTACCTCCATTAACGCACAGAACACGTTTGGGAATCTCTCCCTTTACCATACGCTCCCTCTGCACAACTTATTTTCTATCCTCTCTAAGGGTTAAGGAGTACTACGTGCTCAGTGTGATAGGGAGATGAGAGGGGAAGGCAGGGAGAGATGAGCTACTTACCCTTTGGGGATTTTGACCCCATATTTAGAAATGAAGCAAGAAATGAGGACTGGAGAAAGGACAGCAAACAGTTCTGTTGGCCCCATTTTACTGCATTAACGAAGAAGTCTGACCCTAAAAAACAACCTTGTTATGGAGGCCCGATTTTAAACTTACAGCATTTTTTTTGGACATCCTGCCAAGCTTAATATATAGTTCTCTTAGGGTCTTTTGGTTTTTACACTATTATAACAATGAGGCTGATAATAATTACTTCTTAAGCTTCTAATGATACCATTTACAGTCACTCACAAAAATGACGAACCTGGAAATCCACAAAATGATGAACAAAATTTTTAGAAAGAAAATTATAACTGTTGTGAGATATTAACAGTGATATAAATAATGGGGTTATGTCATGTTCACGAATGACAAAAGTCAATATTACAACAATGCTCCCTCCCTCCCTCCAAAGATATACAGACTTAATGCAATCCCATTCCAAATCCAATATCACAGAAGAATTTGATGTAGTTGATCACTCTTTCTTGAGACACTTCCATTTCTTCTACCTCATCAGCAATTCCTCATGAGCATCCTTTGCTGCTAAATCATTTACACGTCCTTTAAGATTTGCAGGTTCTAGGGTTCAGCCTTAGACCATTTTTCCGTTTTCTATCTGTACTTTCTGTTTTCACTGTCTCTTCTACTTTGTTTGACTCTGAACACCACATACAGTGTATGATTCTCAAATTTTTATCTCTCGTCCAGGATTCTTCTGTGAGCAACTAAAATGTCAAATAGGAATCTTAGATGTCCAATATAAAACTTTTGCTTATTGCTACTCCTCTCTAGTTGTTCCCAATTCCTCTTTCCCACATTCCCTGCATTTAATCAGCAAGCTTTTTTGGCACTTCCTACAAAATGCAATCTAAATGCGACCACTTCTCAACATCCCAACTACCACCATACTAATCTAAGCTACCATTCCCTCCCACCTGGATTTGTTTTCCTTGCTTCTCAACTGTTTGTCCCCTGTCTCTGGGGGTCTGCAAATAAGCCTGGTGGCAGTAGGGACTGTCAACCCCCCTTCCAGCAGTGGCTTGGAATCCCAAGGCAGGTCTGGCCATCTTTGGCTCCTGGGCAGGGAAATTCCTCAGTCCAGAAGGCGCAGAGGTTTCTCCCAACTGAGTAAGGGAGCCAGGAAAGACCCAGAGTGAATGCAACTGTTTTCCCCAAACCAGGTGAGCCACTTCAGGGATTCATTCCTGTTAGGAATCCTCTGAGTGTTCGGGATGGGCCTGCACTCTTGTAGAAACTACTGTGGTCCCAGAATGAATTTTAGGGCTCTCCCTAGGGGGGCTGCAACAGGAGAAACAACTGATCCACTTTCCTCACAACCAGTGGCCTGTTTTCCAAAACTCTACTCTGGGGTGTTCTGCTTAGGTCGGGAAGCCCTGGGGTTTACAGGGTGAACCAGGAGCCTCTCAGATGAAGCCTGAGTAGGTCCAACCGGCCCTGGGTATCGTCCCTGCTAAATCTGAGGGCAAAGAGGAAGAACTCGCCTCCATCCCCCAAACTCATCCACCCACCCGCCTCCCTACTAGCTGCATTAGTCTCCTCCAGGCCTTTGTTCTCAGTCCTGGAAACTTGTCATCTGGGATAAAACAGGCCTTGTACCCCTGAGAGAGAAGCCCCATGGTTCCCCAGTGCATTTCAGAGCAGCCCTTGAAGAGCCTGGAGGCTTCCTGCACACTGGCCTGCTGCCTCTGCCGGCCCGGGGATCAAATGGTGGAAGGACCAGTAGGAACTTGGCCTGTACCTGATTGGGTTGCCATCCCGCACGCTTCACCTGCTCCCACCCTGCCGCCGATGCCTCCGGCCGCCTCTTTCTGTGGTCCCTCCCCTAGGGCCCAGATCCTGGGTCCCGGTCCTTCCCCTTGCTGCGGTAGCCCAGGCCGGGCTTCTGCGGAGGCCAGACTGAGCGCTCAACCTACTCCCTCTGCACCTCCCAGCAGACCCTGCGCGAGATGGCCGGTCGGATTCCTCCCGCCCCCGCCCCGTCCCCCTCTCCCCTCCCCCCGCCCAGGCCCTGGCCTAGGTTGGGGTTTTTCATCTGCATGGTTCCAGAGGCCGCAGCCCTTGCCTATGGCTTCCTACAATATTTCCTTCCTGTTGCTGCGGACCCAGCCCACTCAGGAGGTGGCTTCTCACACCTGCCTGGCCTTAGTAACAAGGCAAGATTTCGGGGGCGGGGGAGGGGGGGGCGCTCAGAGTTGGAAGCTCTTTTCAGTACTGGAAGGAATCGGATGCCTGCGACCCCTCGCTTTTCTCTGCCCGCACAGCAGATGCCGCCAACGCACTCTAGCACCTATTCTTGCCCCAACCCGCTCTAATGAAGCCAGAATTCCTCACGGGGTCTTGGGGGAGATTGCAGAAAGGGTGCGCCTGCCAGTTTTGCTCAGCTGGGTCCTTGCACACGCGCGCCCCCTGGCGGCCTCCTTAACAAACTCAGGTCTCAATGTGCAGACCACAGGGTGGCGCCAGCGGCCTTCCGCGGGACATGCTCAGAGCACCCCGGACCACACAGGTCAGAGAGCTATCACAGTGGCCTGTCCATCTCGCAGCCGGGTTCCAGCTACTAGTTAACTGTGGAGCCAAAAAATGTATTAATGACCTTCTTAAGTAGCTGATTTACAATAGAATTTTAATGATCGGTGAGTGGCAAGCAAACCTGTGAACTGAGAAAACTGAATATGGATTTACAATATTCAGTTTTGTGGGGGAGGTGGGTGGGGGGTAAATGAATGAAACAATTTCTTCTAAATTATTTGAGGAAATATAAAACACCAATTTATCTTCAATGTATTCCTTTTACTTGAAGACACACCCTAGCCTATTGTGATGCAGCCGAAGTCACAGATGAATAGATCAGGTATAGAGCTATGCATAAGTTTGTTGCCTAGATAAAGTAAGGTGATGTTATCAGTATTTCTTACTTAATCTCTCTTTGCCTTGTTCTTATGACTCTTCCTCCACAGCCAGAGGAAGTATGAAGAAGAGGGAAGGTCTTGAAATGAAAGTCGTGGTAAATTCTGCTATGTACCAGGATTCAGAACATCTCAACATGAGCCAGTGTATCTACTTCTAACACATAGCTTTGCCCCTAACACCCATGAGTATAAAATAAAGAAAGACTCAAAAATTTATCTCTGGCTTACAGTGCCTTTGCGTCTTTGGTACAATCAGATTTTTTTCTTTACTCCCAAGGTGATGTATCATGAGTTAGGATGGGTGAGAGACATGCCTTTCTTTTGTAAACTGGGAAAGGGTGTGTGGGAAAGAGTAGGTGGAAAAGGAGAACCAGTTTTGAACATTTACTGCAGGCATCTTCTTAGGCCGTGCAATATAATGAAAGAGTGCACAGGGAGGTTGATGATTTGGACCGTGATTCCCTCAAGCAGTTTGCTTCTACTGCTAACTAGTAAAATTCTAAAACCTGACCTTAATTTAAAGACATAGTTTATTTATTTATTTTTAGAGAGAGGGGAAGGGAAGGAGAGAGAGAGAGAAAATCAGTGTGTGGCTTTCTCTCGAGTGTGCGCCCACTGGAGACCCAGCCCACAATCCAGGCATGTGCCCCAACCAGTAATCCATCCAATAACACTTTGGTTCACAGGCCAGGGCTCAATCCACTGAGCCACACCAGCCAAGGCATACATTTCAAGTCTTCACCTTACTGTGTTGCTCTTGGTGAAGAGCAACAGGAAGTGGGCTTGCCCTTCCACTCCATGGTTCCTGGACCCATATATTCTTTCCATGGGGGTCACAGTGAATATACGGCATCCTGGAGAATGGTGCCTCCATTGTATCTTCCAGATGTTCTTTCGGCAGACTGTCCAACTCTTCTAGGCCAGCCAGTCAGCAGTTTCTGGGCGGTGCGGTATATGATCTGCCCAAGTCCGGCGGTCACGGCCGCGCCTGCACTTTCACTCCTGCTGGCCTGGTTAGATACTCTGCAGTGCAGGACTCCATGCCTGAGGATCAGGCATTCGGAAAGCCCCTGGCGAGTGTGCTGTGTGAGCCGGGGGTGGGGCAGGAAAGGCAAACCCATACCTGGAGTACATGTGGATTCCTGTGAGAAAAACACTGATGGCCCTTCCAGGATGGAGGGGGCCCAGTGTAGCTAATGGGATACCAGGTAGCAGGTGGTATCCCTGAGGTATAGAATCCCAGCAGAGGCTCAGCCTTGGTCTCTGCTGCCGGCTGGTGCAACACTTGGCAGCAGTACTAGCTGCGTGAGCCTTGGTGAGAGTCAGTGGTGTTGGGCCATGTGTAGTCTCTCTCTGTTATTGTAGCTGGTCTGCTTCTGTTTCCATTACACTGAGTGTCTCTTACTTGGGAGATGTTCTCTGCTTAATGGACGATAAAAAGATCTTCACACTTCATGCCCATGGCCCTGTACCCATCCACATGCTTCCACCACAGACATCCCTATTCTTACTCTTCTAATCTTCCTTCTATGTGCCTCGATCAGCCAGTCAGGGCATTTGCTCCCACCTGGAGTCTGGATACAGTCTCAGCTGGGGTGATTTCTCTGTATGCACGAAGTGGGTGACTTAGTTTGCCACCTGAAACCCTGCCAATTGGGATGACTCGACCCACCACTACCTTAAAAAGCCTCCGGTGAGTTGCTGTAAATTTTCAATTTGCAGCCTCATATTGAATTGGTCCATTTTAAACTTTTTTCCTCCCCTTTCAGCTGGTCATAAGGGATGCCCATGTAACCAAAGATGCTGGTAGGTGCCATAGGTGCCTGAGCTACCTGCTCATACAGTTTGTGCCTTCATGTCCTGCTTTGTCTCAAAAGTACTATTTTTGTTAAATTGTCACTAGGCCACCTTGACCTTAGGACTTGGAAGATCTAACTATACCTAGCTCATGATGGGCGGTTCTGTCCTCATTGTCACCTAGTGATTAAAAACAAAATAAAACAAAAAAAAACTTCTCTGTCCCTACCAGGGCCCGAAAGCACACTAAAAGTTGTTTTTCAAAAGACATCTCTGTTGCAGATGGCACAGCTTTGCTCTGGAATCACAGGGGGATTGCACTATGCTTCTCCAGCTGGCTCTTGCCAGATTCTGCGCAGTACCTTTTCTCTCCCCTGATACTCTCAGTGCCACAAAATTCGCTGCATTATCTGGCCCAAGTGGTAGAGGCTTCCTGCATTCCAGCTTTGACCTACTGAAAGCCTGTTTGTCCCATGGTGGGGCAAAGTTGTAATGGCCACCATAATGAGAATATATGTTAAGACTGACAAATGAAGCAGGCAACTCCATAGACTATAATACTGTTCACTGTAGAGTGATTTACTTATAGGAATATTGGGGTGGAGCAGAACAGATGACCCAGCAGTCTGCATAGATTCTGCACAGATTCTGCACAGAATCACTACAGTGATTCTTCACTGCAGATTCCTGTTGCCGTACTTTTTTTTTTTTTTTTTTTAGTATTATAACTCAGGTACTAATGACTGACAAGACAAAGGAACCAAGGGTGCAGTGCTCACCATACTTTCTGGTGGTCTTGTGATAGGCAATTGCTTATAACAAATACTATTACTGGTTTGATGGTCCTGCCATTCCAGCCATTAGTAACAAAAATGTTTATGGCTCCATTTTAAGGAGCACAGATAATCACCAACCAGAGAGCTTTGATAAGGACAGTGAGGCGGGTCAGAGGTCAAAGCCTGAAATTTAAAAGTGAAATGCAATTGCAGGCACAGAGATGGAGCTGTTTTATGCACACCTGCATCCGTACCCTCTTCGGTGCTCCAGGTCCTGTTCAAAGCTGGCAGCCTTCCAGCGTTACCTGATATGGGCCCAAGAAGGATCCTCACACATGAAATACTCTGCTTGTAAAGCCTGCAAAGGCCACCAAGTGCGATTTCTTTGAAGGTGGGGGACAGGATGCAATAGTACGGTTTTGAGGCCAGGCCCTGACTACTGGGCTTACGGATGTGGTAGCTCCCTGAATCTTTCAGAGTTCATCTCCCAGCCTCTGGAGCACCAAGTTTCCCCAGTGTGCTGCTGCCACTTCTTGCTCATCTGGCCTGATTAACATAATGCCGTCAATGTGATGGATTAATATGAAGTTCTGCAGGATGATGAAGATGAGGTCGAGTTGGCTTCAATCTGGGACAGAACTGTATATTGTATACTGTACATTCCATGTTAGTATAAATTTGTGATTCAGACAGAAAAGAATGCACATCATTGGTCACATACCACGTGCCTGAGGCCACACCAATTTTCTCTGGTAGAGCTACTGTGTCTGGCGTGGCAGCTTATGATTGTGGCTACTACTTAGTTGAGCTTGCAGTTATATCCAGAATCCATCGAAGCTTCTGCAGGGACCAGTCTGCTTAGTTGAATAAAGGCATAATTGGGGTCACTTCCATCCTTTAGATTTGTACCATCCTGTATGGTAGCCATTAGCCACATGTGACCATTTAAGTTCAAATTTATTAAGCAAAATTAAAAATTTAGTTCCTCAGTCACACTAGCCATAAAGTGCTCAACAACCACATGTGGCTTGTGTCTCCAGTTCCAGATGGAATAAAAATAAAGAGGAGTGGCCCTGGCTGGTGTAGCTCAGTGAATTGAGCTCGGGCCTGCGAACCAGACAATCGTGGTTCGATTCCCAGTCAGGGCACATGCCTGGGTTGCAGGCCGGTTCCCTGCAGGCCAGTTCCCAGCAGGGGATGCGCAAAGGGCAACCATACATTGATGTTTCTCTCCCTTTCTCCTTTCCTTCCCCTCTAAAGATAAATAAATTTAAAAAAAAAAATAAAGAGGAGCGGATCCTTAAATGTATAGGGCCAAGGACCAAGGACAGGGCACTCTGCTTCTGGAGAAAGATTTGAGGGCCCACCTGGAGAAAGTGTGAGGTGGTCCCAGGCCTTGCTCAGACCCAGCTCTCAGGCTTGGGGAACAGGCAGGCAGGCCTCGATTCGGGGGACATCCAAGAACAGATAAAAGCCAGAGATGAGGGCAGACTGACATGCAAATTGTTCAGTGAAGAAATTGATATAATCAAGTGAATTTTTTTAAGCATTGAAATACATATGAGAAAAAAAGATTATGACATAATCTCTGTGACAAAGATTATGAGCATGGAAAAGTCTGGAGAGGAAACACAGGAGAGTGGGGGAGGGGAAGCACTTCGTGGTGCCCTAGCTTCAGCCCAGGTCATTAGTTCCCTGCCTCTACCCATGTCTCCCCTGACCCTCTACCCTAGGGAGCCCTTTCCCTGAAATCCTCCTCCCTCTGTGGGTGGAGGGACTCTCTGCTGTGGCGTGAATGTCACTTCCTGCTTCAATCTCCTATTTCTCAGGCCAGTGTCTTCTACAGACAGTCCCTCTCCAGAGGGCCTTCGGGACTCTTTCCCTATGGGCCTCACCCCTGCAACTCCCCTCCTTTCTCTGTTTCCCTGTCCCATAAGACAAAACATTCTGTGCAATCAATGAAACTTCTGCTGTTACATAGGATCATGTCCTTTAATAAAAATGTTGGAGTTGCTGGACTTCTGTTGAGATGGTAATTGCTGCACTGCTTCCTGAAGGTGAGGGTGAGAGGACATTCTCATTGTCCACAATCTAGGGAAGCAGTGGGCTCAGGTGCGCTTCCATCTGCTTCAAGTCCCAGGTTGCTGGAAGGTGCTTTCAGGTGGCCTGGGCGTTGAAGGTGAGCCCGGCCACGTGGAGCCAGAACAGGCTAGGCCGGGCTGTGTCCTCGTTTGGTGGTGAGCTACATTTTTTTTAAACCAAATAATCTAGAAGTATGTTGCTAGGTTTGTTTATCCCCCCCCTTTTTTTTCCTAAGCTTTGGTAAAGTTATATTCATACATGTCAGTTTTATCTCAGCTTGTTTTGTGGAATAGCAGGGAAACATTTTGTCTCCAAAATGGAGGCCAAGCAGGAGAGGAGCATATCTTAAAGCTAGTTCATAAGCATCCAGAAAACCAGAAAGGTAAAGTAAGTCTGTGACAGGTCAGAGCTGGGGCTTTGTCAGGTCACTGCCCCCTCCCCACTGAAGCTGCTCCTTGCAGTGCCAAGCTGGGCGATCTGGAATTAATGTATTAAGAAAAATAGCAGTTACCTTCTGCTAGTCCTTAGGGTAGGGGACAAGGACAGTCAAGCAAGATCCTTGGTTATCGCTGCACACGGAGAGGTTATGAAAAACCTCAAATGGAAAGGTAAAAGTAATGCACCCACTTCTCACGGCGAGTTACTCTTGGTGAGATGTGCGGGCACGGCCCCTGCCAATGTGCGGACGGAGGGGAGAGCTGACGTAACCGGCCTGAGCACTCAGAGAGGCAAGCTCATTTCACTGCCTCTCAGAAGTAGTTTTTGTAATTTAATTTATTTAAATTATTTTATTGTTCAATTACAGTTGTCTGCATCTTCCCCCCACTCCCCCCACCCCAGCCAAACCCACTTCCCTTACTTGCTTTCACCCTTCCCCTTGGTTTTGTCTGTGTGTCCTTTATAGTAGTTCCTGAAAACCCTTCTCCCCACTGTCCCCTCCTCCCCTCTGGTTACTGTCAGATTGTTCTTAATTTCAATGTCTCTGGTGAATGTTTGCTTTTCTGTTTTGTTGATTAGGTTCCATTTAAAGGTGAGATCATATGGTATTTGTCTTTCACCACCTGGCTCATTTTTTTAAATATATTTTATTGATTATGCTATTACAGTTGTCCCATTTTCCCTCCTTCACTCCCCTCCACCCTGCACACCCCCTCCCACCCATATTCCCCCCCTTCAGTTCATGTCCATGTGTCATACATACAAGTTCTTTAGCTTCTACATTTCCCATACTACTCTTACCCTCCCCCTGTCTATTTTCTTCCTACCATCTATGCTACTTATTCTCTGTACCTTTCCCCCCTCTCTCCCCCTCCCGCTCCCTGGTTGCTAAACCTCCATGTGATCTCCATTTCTGTGGTTCTGTTCCTGTTCTAGTTTGCTTGGTTTGTTTTTGTTTTTGCTTTAGGTGTGGTTGTTAATAATCATGAGTTTGCTGTCATTTTACTGTATATATTTTTTCTTAGGTAAGTCCCTTTAACATTTCATATAATAAGGGCTTGGTGATGAATACCTTTAATGTGACCTTATCCAAGAAGCACTTTATCTGCCCTTCCATTCTAAATGAAAGCTTTGCTGGATAGAGCAATCTTGGGTGTAGGTCCTTGCCTTTATGACTTGGAATATTTCTTTCTAGCCCCTTCTTGCCTGCAAGGTCTCTTGATAAATCAGCTGACAGTCTTATGGCCACTCCTTTGTAGGTAACTGCCTCCTTATCTCTTGCTGCTTCTAGGATTCTCTCCTTCATTTTAATCTTGGGTAATGTAATTATGATGTGCTTTGGTGTGTTCCTCCTTGGGTCCAACTTCTTTGGGACTCTGAGCTTCCTGGACTTCCTGGAAGTCTATTTCCTTGGGCAGATTGGGGAACTTCTCCTTTATTATTTGTTCAAGTAAGTTTTCCACTTGTTGCTGTTCTTCTTCTCCTTCTGGTATCCCTATAATTCAGATGTTGGAACATTTAAAGATGTCCTGGAGGTTCCTAAGCCTCCCTTCATTTTTTTGAATTCTTGTTTCTTCATTCTTTTCTGATTGGATGTTTCTTTTTTTCTTCTGGTCCGCACCATTAATTTAAGTTCCAGTTTCCTTCCCATCACTATTGGTTCCCTGTACATTTTATTTCACTTAGCATAGCCTTTATTTTTTCATCTAATTTGCAACCAAATTCAACCAATTCTGTGAGCATCCTGATCACCAGTGTTTTGAACTGTGGATCTGATAGATTGGCTATCTCTTTGTCACTTAGTTGTATTTTTTATGGAGCTTTGATCTGTTCTTTTGTTTGGGCCATTTTTTTTTTCAGCTCACCTGCTACATATAAGGGGCAGAGCCTTAAGTGTTCACCAGGGCGGGGCAACCCACAACGCTGGGTTGTGACGCTATATGTGGAGGAGGGGTCTGAGAGGGAGCAGTGCTGTTTGCTTTTCTCTCTGCCAGTTTTCAATCACCTCCCCCACTACCCAGAGTTAAATTGGTCCCTGCTGGTGCTGGTTCCCAGGTGGGTTGGCTTGTGTATATTCTAGGACCCTGTGGGTCTCTCCAACAAACTCTCCCGTGAGGCTTGGAGTGTCTCCTACTGCCACCTCCACCCCCACAGTGGTTTGAGGCTTTATTTCTCTGTGCTGGGACCCCGGGTTGCGAGGTTTGTCCCGCTCCCCCTTTATTTCATCTGGTTTATCTGCGTGCGAGTGTGGGACCACGTGCTTTACCAGCTGCTGCATTGCTATGAGTCCTCTTGGTCCTGGCCTTCCACCTCTGCCCCTCCTACTGGTCTGGATGAATGTTTTTTCTTTACTTCCTTCGTTGTCGGACTTCCTTACAGTTGGATTTTCTGTCAGGTCTGGTTTTTGGTTTTTAAATTGTTGTTGTCCTTCTTTTGGTTGTGTGAGGAGGCACAGTATGTCTACCTATGCCTCCATCTTGGCTGGAAGTCACCTCTCAAAAGTTATTTGTATGGTAGTTTTCCTTCTTTTTGTTCTATACTATTTATCCCCTCTTGTACCCTCACAACCTGTCTCTCTCACTTTGTCTCTGTCTTAATCTCTTGTATATATACACACACTTACCTTTTTACCCTTTCCCCAGAAATATTGCTCAAGATACCCAATAGGATAATCAGGTTAGACTTGATTTTCAAGTCTTTAAAGATTGCTTTGGAGGAGGTCTCGCATCAAATCATCTCTAATAAAACTTCCAAGTTTTGCTCCATTGAAGTCAGCTCATTCATTTGCTTTATTTAAGAGTTGGTCGGATGCCATGGCACTCACAATCTTGGCGTCCCTCACCTTTTGGATGTTTATGCCCCGTGCTCATGGAAAGGAAGGTGCAGGGCCTGTCTTGACTCACGAGCACCCTCAGAGCTGTTTCTCCTGGTCCCCCTTCTCCTGGGGCTTCTGGGGCGTCTCCTGCAGCTGTTTTTGTTCCTGACATTTCAGTTCTTCTTCTAAACATCTATCTTTTTGACAGAAGGACATGACCTTCTTCCCATGACTAGAGTCCACAGGAATTTCTAAAATCCACTTTTTCTTTCTCTGCAGTTTCTTATATATTATCACACAGAAAATGGTGTTTACCAAAAATATTATTCCCAGTACCAGATGCAGCAGGACATGAAACCACTCAGGAGCTGGTGACTGGAGCCCTGTGAGAGAAAATGAGAGAGAAGAAATGCTGTTCAGACACCAGGGGCATCTGACTGGGTTATGTGTGGAAGAAACGGTTGACTGAGACCTGCCAGCCACTCCTGTCCCCAGTGGAGACGGCAGTGATTTCAGGGGGCAGGAAGCAGCTGTAGGCGGCTCCGGGTGGGCCCTGTGGTATATGGACAAGGGGCCGGCTCCTCAGAAGACCTTCACTGCCAGGGCCCTGTTGCTGGACTTTCTCCCTAGTTTCATAGACAACTGCTATTTCTACTTGAAATATACTTGAAATGAATGTGAACTGACGATGAACTCTTTTTTTCCCATGGAGTTTTTTGTTCTGGAGCTCACAGTCCTGTCACCTCAGCCAGATACAGACACCTGGGCAGGTATTCGTGTGCAGCTCTGAAAATCCTCACCTCACCAGCCTGCCACATGAGGTCCTTGATAATAATAGATAATAGATATGTATTGATATCATGATCACATGATAATAGATAAGGACTCAGTATATTGCTGATTAGGTTGTTGGTGAGAGAGAAGGGGCAGAGGGAGGGATAAGAAGAAGAGACAGAGAAAGAGAGAGAGAGAATGGAAAATATAGGAGAAAAAAGAGGGAAGGACAAAAACAAGGACATAGATAGAGAAAGGAAAGGAAATAAGAGGAAAAGAAAGAAAATGTGATGGAGATTAGTGAAGCTGTGAATCAAGAGCAGAAAGTCCTGTTCATAGCGTTTTCCTGTCCAAGCCATGAACAGACCACAGTCCGATTGGCACAAAGGGAACATCTTCTCTTGTGCTGGTCGGTTCCCATCATTCTCACCAAGCACTTGAAGCTCCAGCTCGGGGCTGCGCTTGATGACATCTCCATCTTCTGTGGTGGCCTCACACCAGTAGAACCCGGCATCTTCTCTCCCAGCAGCTCGGATCTGGTAGTCAGAGGATTCGGTCCTGCTCGCCAGGGTCTGATTTGCCACGTAGAAGGAGAAGTAAAGTTGCACAAGAGGGCTGTGAGGGAGCAACCTCGTTTCACAGCTCAGGTTGACCGGACTGCCCTCCAGCAGGGGGAGTGAGGAGGATGCTCTCAGCACTGGGGCTGGAAACAGCTCTAAAGAAAAAGTTGACAATTGCCTGCTTCAGAGTTAAGGTTCATTTTTACGGAAGACATACTTCCCCCACCGCTTTGGGAACCTTTCTCCACCGAGTGTATCCATAAAATACAATTTTTTCCACTTCCAGCAGAGAGGCACTCTTAGAGTTTCCTCTTAGATACAGTTACCAGCTTGCTCATAGCCTCCTGGGGAGAATCCTCTACACAGTTCATGCTGCCCTGAATAACCATGATATTCGTTATACAACCGTGCCTTTGGGTAATGTTTGGCCAGCAGTGTATACACCCACACCCTAGCCAGTTCAGCGTCTCATTACTTGTGTTCCTGCCTCAAAAGATAATCTGGGACAATACTTTCTTTCCCATAGGAATTAACTACTTTTTTCAGATAGAAAAAAGCTGCTCGGGGTTATGAGTACTGAGATGAAGTCCATGGAAGAGTCACGACAAAGGCCATGTGCAACTGGGACAGAGGAAGCTGCTCAGACGGCAGACGTTCAGGAAGCAGCGCAACCAGAGAGGTTGCATCTCCCTGGAGAGATGGACAGAAAGTATAACCAAGCCCTAATGTCTTCCTGGCCTCCGTTTCCAGCAGGCGAATCCCACCTTTTGGCCTCTCTGGGCCACAGGGGAAAAAGAGGAGTTGTCTTAGGCCACATATTAAATACACAAACACTAATGAAAAACCAATGATCAAAAATAGGGCCGTGCATAGTTTTCACTATATCTGCCACTGCAGATAAGCAAAAAAGTCCTCGTGTGTGGCCTGCGGGCTGCAGGTTGGACACACCTGCTGTGGAGCTTTTATGAGATTCCCTGGGTTATTTTCTACCTACTCGAGTGACTCTTTATTTCATGCAAATAAAATAAAATGGATCCTCCTTGATGAAATGGATCCTCACTATGCCCTGGCCTTAAAATTAACTCCTGAGTTTATTTACAGGGCGCCACAGTATTCTGGGAAGAGCAACAGACTGGGACCCAGAGAACCTCCGTTCTGGTCCTCCCTGACCCCCACCTCCGCTCACCCCTGGCCACTGGTCGTATTGTGACCTTCAAGAAGGCAGGTTCTCAGTTTCTTCATTTGCTAATTGAAGCAATCATTTATGATGGCTTCACTGGTCCTTCAAGCTACAGTTCTATGACTATTCAGATACAATACCTTTAACAGTGATATTTACTCCTGCTGATGTGAAGCGAGGCCTTCCGTACAAGCCCGAGCAGTGGTAGATGCCATTGTGACTCACGCTGGTTTTCGAAATGGTAAATTCAGGATTCCAAGGAGAAAACTTAAAGGTCTTGCCATTGTGGTAGAAAAGTATCTTGTATATCAGCTTGTTCTTCCATCCATGACATCTCAAGGCCAGAGGTTTCCCTTCTGTGACAACTCTGCTAGAGACCTGCAGTAGTAGCCAATCTGGAAAATGGGGGCCCAAAATGCTGTATACAGTGGCACAGGTACCCTTAAGGAAGTCAGACACTGGGGGCTTTGTCTTTCTCCTTGAACACCCCACCCTAGAGCTCTGCTGAATCTGAGGCCTATCTCCCACTCCTCAAATCTCCTTAGCTTTGCCCGGAAGAAAAGTAACCTTTACCAGAAAAGCCCTGAGCACAGCCCCTTCTTGTCTTCCCTTACTTGATCTTAGAGGTTGGTTGGGACAACAGTTTTAACATGTGTGGTAGGCAGTATTCTAAGATGACCCCAGTAAGTCACACCCTTGTCTGATCCCCTTCCAGCCACCAGAATATGATGGGCGGGATGTCCTCCCATGACGTTGTTACATTAAATGAGACTCGGCGTTAGCTGTCCAACTGAGTCTCCTGGTGGCCTTGAAGACGTGAGCTGAAGTGCCATGAGACGGCCTGTGACAGAGGCGTGCGGCAGGGGGCCTCCAGCTGACAGCCCACAAACAGGCAGAGACTTCAGCCTTACAGCCACAAGGGGCTGGAGTCTGCCAGCGACCCTGTGAGCTTGGAAGACTCACAGGAAGGACCACAGCCCAGCAAGCACCCTGATGGCAGCCTCAGCAGAGTACCCGTCCAATGGCAAGATAATTAATGTATGTTGTTTGAAGCTAAGTCGGTGGTAATTTGTTACACAGCAATAAAAAACTGATATACTCAACTCCTGACTAATTTGTTCATAGGATCACATATACTAAGGCAAACACACATGGCAAACATATCCAGACATATTTATGCTTCTAAATGAATAGAAATACATATGTGCAGATCAGTGATATAGCTGGTAACAACAAGCTCCAAGTCAAATGGGCCCCCACTTTGGATGGGCACCTCTACACATAACTAAAAATGCTTCTTTTTCCCTACCCTGGGCAGTTGGTTTGGCTAAATGAGCATGAGGTTCTGAGAGGACAGAAGCAAAGAAGAGACAGTAGCGCTTCTTCCCCCCCTGGAGCTCACGTAAGGGGGAAGGCAGGCATTCCGGCGCTGTGCATAACACGGGTTTCAGCCTTGGATGCTGCACGCTTTCCTCCCTAGTCCTGTTCTCCACCAAGAGGTGCTCAAAGGCTGCACCGCCCCCACACGTCCACAAACACAGTGGGGAATTTCAAAAAACTTCCCTCCGAAACCGTCCAAAATGCTGGTGATGATTCCAACCCTGGCGATCATTGGGGTGACAGATGCCGCAGCCAGATCGCCCTCACATCCATAATTCCCATACTTTCCAAATGCACACCTAACAGTTTTACAAATTGAACACATACCACACCACAAAAGCAGTTTTCCACAAATATCAGGGAACCATACCATATTTAACAGAAATTCTGATCGGAATGCCAAAGACACTTTCAGAGAAAACACTTTCTCTAAAAGTAGAAATCAATGACGAGGAAAAAAACCATGCTCCAAAACCACTTCTAAATAAATCACGAGTAAAAGAAAGACAGAAATTTATAAATAAAATTAAAAATATTTAGCCTTAAAAGATAAGAGTATTATATATCAAACATTGGCTTTTAGCAGACATTAATTTTCTACTAAAAAATCGTTCTCCCTGTCTTTAATTATCACCTTGGAGTAAGGTAGAGACACTCATTTTAAACCACAGGACTGGGACTTGGGTCCATGGACCAGCTGTATTTTCTTGGTCTCAGCACACACAGACAAACCGAAGTGACCGGGAGCTAGTGTAACTGCCACTGAAGCCTCCATGGCTGACTGACCGTGGCAAACATCTTTAAATACAGTACAGAGAACATCAACCAAAAACCTTGATGTAGTGTACTGTAGTAAAATTAAAAACTTTTGCTTGTTGAAAAAGAAAACAACATATTCAGATAACAAAAAGCCAGGCCACAGAGTAGAAGGTATTTACTACACTTGAACAAGGACTCATATCCAGGATGTATTAAGAGCTCCTACAAGTCAATATGGAAGAGGCAGAAAAACAATTTTTAAAAATTGCCAAAAAATCTAGGCAGGTACTTTACAAAAGAGGATATCCAAGTAAATAATAAATGTAAAAAAATACTCAGTATCATTAGCCACGAGGGAAATGCAGGTGAAAACCGTAGTGTGATGTTACTGCACATGCCTCTGAATGGCTACAGCGAAAACTACAGGAAACACCCGCTGTTGTTGCTGAGGGGCAACCACAACTCTCACACCGAGAGTGTGACATGCGTGCTGGCCACTGTGGAAAACTAAAGCTGAATATATATGCATTTTGTGCCCCAGCAATTCCACTCGTAGGCGATTCCAACAGACACATGCACCTACCGACAGACACATGCACCTACCGACAGGCACAGGGAGTCCCCAGTGAGTGTCTACAGAGACCCAAACTGCAAACAACCCAACAACAGTCCAATAAAATGGACAAATATGGAATATTATACCGTGATGAGAACTGCAACTTTACAACATCTATAAATCTTACAATCGATGTGAGTAAAGGAAGCCAGACACGAAGAGCAGATACTATACTGTACTATATCCATTTATATGAAGTTAAAAAACAGGTGAAAACATGGTGTTGGAAGTCAGTGTGGAGGCGGTGACTAGAAATGGGCTGGAGGGAGAGTCTGTGACTCTGGGAACATTTATTTATCTGGGTGTAATTTACTTTGTGAAAATTCACTGATGTGTACACTTCAGGTTTATTGTATGTTATACTTCAATAAAATTCACATTAAAATACCATGTAAAAATATATAATTGTTGACTTGGGAAGGATATAGCTGCCAAGAAGGACTCCTTAGGGTTAATTGGGCTCAAATTCTTAATCGGACTCTAGGAGCCACTGCTTGCAGGGGCCGCTCCTGCACCCTGCATTTCAGGGGCAAGCCGCACAGACTGACTGCCGGCTTCCAGCTCTGTGTCCCTGCTGGCTAAGCCGACCTTTAGGGGGAGTTCCTGGAATCAGCTTTCAGCTAGTGGGCTCAGACCTGCCTCATCCAATTGGAACGGCTCAAACCACATAAAGCCTTGCATTAAAAGAGTTGTCAGCTCCCCTCACCTCTCTAGCATAGGAATTGAGTCCCGGAGGCCTAACAGACACAGGGTAAAGCTAGCATTTCCCCGACATTCCTAATGTTTCCTTAGCTAAAACACGTTTCCTCCTAGGAAACACGTTTCCTAGTCTACACAAATCTAATTCTGCTTCCAGGATGGATTCACTTTTGCATTGTCAATTACACAGAAGTTTTAGCTTAATGCTTTTGAATAACTAAATAATCTGTTTGAATGATTTTTCCCAAATAATGAAACATTTTGCCCTAAAGAGTATTGCAGTTTCCACCTATTGACGTAGAAACCTCTTACAGACTGAAGTAGATGGTAGGCTTTTTTCCTGCTTCTATTCATCAAAGTTTAATATGATAATAAAACAAAATAACAAAATAAATAAAATGAAATAAATAAAATGAAATACATTAAATAACTGTATAAAATGAAATTAATAAAATTAATAAAATAGAATAAAATAAACAAAATAAATATATTAAATGACTGTATGAAATGAAATAAATAATAATATAATAAAATAAATAAATAGAATGAAAGAAAATAAATAAAAATAAATAAGAAAATAAATAAAAATAAAAACTAATTGATTAAATAATATAAATAAAATAAAATAAGGACTTCCGCCAAGATGGAGGCATAGGTGGATGTGCAGTGCCTTCTCACACAACCAAGTTTAGAGACAACTAAATATTAGCAATAGAAAACACAGCCAGAACACAGAAAATTGAACTTTTCGGAAGTCCGTTAACAACAAATTCTTCAGCCTGACCGGTAAGGGGCGAAACCAGCGCTGGTGAAGCGGGGTTGCACAGGAAAACTCGGTCAGAAGGACTCAGGCGTGCGGAATCCAGGCGTGCGGAATCCAGGCGCAGGGTTGGACCTAGTGAGCGACTGAGCGAGCAACCAGGTGAGCGACCACAGGGGAGACAGCGGGGGAGCGGTGCTGCGTGTTGACTGTGGTCGCGCATTTGTGCGCAGGCGGACAGGCCAGGGAGTGGCGGTTGGACCGGGGCACAGCGGGTCCCTGCTGTGTGCGGCAGTGGAGGGCGCTGCCATTTCCCTGCTCTGACCCCACCTCCACACACAGCGTCATAACCCAGCGACTCTGAGTGGCCCGGCCCAGGTGAACCACCTAAGGCGCAGATCCTCACCAAGCTGTGTGAAACAGCAGAGGGGGTCGCCATTTCCCCGCTCTGACCACGCCCCCACATACAGCGTCACAACCCAGCGACCTGGGAGTCCAAGGCGCCCTCCTCACACTTAAAGGGCACGAACAGACCAAAAATGGCTCAAGAAAAGCTCAAAGCCCCGAAACCTATAAATCTAAGTGATGAAGAAATAGCAAAACGCTCAGATGCACAGTTTAAAACACTGGTGATCAGGATCCTCACAGAACTGGTTGATTATAGCCACAAATTAGACAAATATATGAAGGCGAAACTAATTGAAATGAATGGAACTGCACAGGACATCAATAGTGATGAAAAGGAAACTGGGACTCAAATCAATGGAGTGGACCAGAAGAAAGCAAATAATGGCCAAACAGAAAAGAGTCAAGAAGCAAGAATTCAAAGAAATGAGGAGAGTCTTAGGAACCTCCAGGACATCTTTAAACGCTCCAACATCCGAATTATAGGGGTACCAGAAGGGGGAAAGGCACAGCCACCAGTGGAAAACTTATTTGAACAAATAATAAAGGAGAATTTCCCCAATCTGGCAAAGGAAATAGACTTCCAGGAAATCCAGGAAGCTCAGAGAGTACCAAAGAAGTTGGACCCAAGAAGGAACACACCAAGGCACATCATCATTACATTAGCCAAGATTAAAATGAAGGAGAGAATCCTAGAAGCAGCAAGAGATAAGGGGACAGTCACCTACAAAGGAGTCCCCATCAGACTGTCAGCAGATTTCTCAAAAGAGACCTTACAGGCAAGAAGGGGCTGGAAAGAGGTATTCCAAGTCATGAAATCCAAAGACCTACAACCAAGATTGCTCTATCCAGCAAAACTTTCATTTAGAATGGAAGGACAGATAAAGTGCTTCTCAGATAAGATCAAATTCAAGGAGCTCATCATCACCAAGCCCTTATTATATGAAATGTTAAAGGGACTTATCTAAGAAAAGGAAGTTAAAGAAACATGAACAGTGAAAGGACAACAAACTCACAGTTATTAACAACCACACCTAAAACAAAAGCAAACTAAAAGGACAGCTAGATCAGGAGTGGAAACATAGAAATGAAGATCTCAAGGAGGGTTAGCAACAGGGGAGTGGGAGGAGGAGAAGGGGGGAGAAGGTACAGAAAATAAGTAGCATAGACAGTAGATAGAAAATAGAAGGGGGGGCAAGAATAGCATGGGAAATATAGAATCTAAAGGACTTGAGACACATGGTCATAAACTAAAGGGGGGGTAATGGTGGGGATGGGGGGTAGGGTGGAAGGGAATGAAAGGGGGAATAGAACAACTGTAACAGCATAATCAATAAAAAAAATAAATAAAATAAAATAAAATAATAAAATTTAAAAATAAATAAATAAAATAAAGTTTCACAATAATTCCATGTCCAGAATATTATCCTACAGATATACTGAAATGCGCCCCAGATAATATGTACGAAGATGTTTACTGTAGCAGCGCTTGTAAAGGCAAAGCATGGAAACACACTAGAAGCTTAGCAATCACGGTCAAATTGATTATAGCACAGCTATAAGGCAGACATTTGCAAGTATGGGGTAGATCTCTATTCATATAAAGAGACCTTCACAGTCTTTTAAGTGATAAAAGGTGTAGGATAGTATACAGAGTATTCTACCGACCACTTGTTTTAAAGTTTATATTATTAACAGTTTTGTTTCTGTGGAAGCTGTCTGCAGGGCTAGGTGTTTGGGATAGGAGGGAGACTTTATTGTTCATCATTGTCCATTTCTCCAAATTAGTATTATTTACTATGGGTGGGTATAACTTTTAAACAAAACTAGGTAACTTTGAATAATGACAAACTCCAAGGGTCTGAGTTTTACTCTAGATACCCTACTCACACCTGCCCCAGTCGAGTGTTTTGGGGACACAGTTTGAGGACTCTGATGTGATCTTTTGATGATCTTGACTTTATTGACCTGGCAGGCACACAGAGCTGAGACCCATACTCAGACAAATCAGTATACTCACACACACACACACACACACACACACACACACACACACACACCCGATGTCCAGAAAGGAAAAAACGCAAAGGAAGACCTTGCGAACTCCAGCTCTTGTCTCCATGCCGTACTTACCTCTGTGGACTTCCAGATGTATGGGGTCACTTGGCAGCAAGAGACCTGTCTGGCACCTGTATTCCCCAATGTCATTGACACTGGCGGCGATGATGCTGTAGGTGGGGGTCAAGGTCTGAATGGCTATGCCATTGAGAAACCACTGTGTAGAGCTGTCCCAAGGCAGGTGGGCTCCCTCACACCGTAATGTAACACTTTCCTCTGAAAATACACTGACCCACGGAGGCTGCAAAGTGAGCACTGACTTTGCAAGGTCTGCTGTGGGGAAAACGGGAACAAAAACAAGTGGCATAAAAGGAAAGGCTCTGAACAATAGGGAGGTTTTGTAGATAGCACTAGGGAAAAATGTATATTTAGATTAGGTTGAAAAATAAGCAAGAGAGAACCTACAAATCCAGCCATGAGGGATGTCCAGACCCAACTGCAGAGGCCTCTGTTCATGTTATGAAATCTGGGTGTTGCCGATTTGGGGTTCTAAAAATCCCCAATGAAATGGGATAAACAATGAAACAGGGTTTTAAACTACTGCAACTAGGTTGAAGTAGATTTGCTGTATTACCTTTGAGGGTTCATCTCGAGCCTTAATAAGCACCTGCACTGGAAATCAAGATTCAAACCCCTCCCTTTCTAACTGCCCAGTGTCTGCTTGATCCTCTCTGAGGAGAAAAAAAATTACTCAGCTTTCTTGTAAGGGGACTAGTGTGGAGGATACTGGAAACCCCAGCAGGGCTACTTATGCAGGTTTGCAATCCTTGTCCTTTCTTGCTATATAGGCATTAAGTGCAGAGGTCAAAACTCATTTAGTATATCTTAGAGAGAACCCTTAAAAACCAGGATTTTATCAAAATCACATTCTGAATATAGGGGAATTCATATAATTTACAAATTTTCCCCCTTTCTACCCTCTCCCTATACTGTCTTCTTTAGGAATATAAAATCTAGATTTTGGAAACAGGAGTGTGCTGGAGGAAGAGAAGTTGAGTTAGCCATTACTCACCTATTTGACCATCAACTGGAACTGTAAGCGACCAAACAATAGAGACATCATCAGTTTGTCCATGGAAGAAGAAAAGAAAGGGAGAATTAGGGAGATAGAACTAACATAGACTTTAAGGGGCCAGCTTAGGTCTCTTTAGTTTCTCTCTACCTCCTTTCCCAAAATCAGGTACTAATGGTATGGAAAAGCCTACAGGTGATGATTGATGGGACTTTATTATGACATGATGCTTTCAGGCTTAATGTTGCCTCAGAGTTTCCCTTCCCATCGTTTTGATAAAGTAAACACCAATAAACCATGGAAGCACTGATATGATCATTGTCTCCATACTCATGAGTTCTAGCCTAGGTTACCAAAGGAAGACAGAAAACCCTCAGTCCCCTTAGCCAGGGCCTGCCCCTTCTAGTGATCTCTCCAAGCCCAACTTACCCCAGAGGAGCAGAGCTGTTAAGAGCCACATGTTGTCCCCAAGGTGATGGCACCAGTGACATCTGCAACATGCAAGACATGGAAGAGAATCTGCTGAGGCATCTGGAGCCAAGATTAGGAAAGAGGAAGGAAATTGCCTCTTCTGACCATGTTTGTCCTGTTCCTTTTCTGGGAAATGCATCCAGAATTCTCGAAGCATGCGCTCCCCTTTCTCATACTGCTCAGCCTGTCTCCCCCAGTGAGAAACTCTGGGTTTGGGGTTTATGAAACTCTAAGAATCCAAGGGAAGGGCTAATGTTTTAGGACATTCTCTTCTGAATATTCCCCTTCTACCAACTACGTTTCTTTTGGGGCTAGAATAGGGCAAAGCCTCATTTTTTGAAACTGGTTAATCCCTGGCTAATCCCTCCAAAACTGGATCAACTGAAACCAGATTATTCTCCCTCAGCCTCTATGGGACGTGTGAGCAGTGACTCATCTGTAAGAGCTCCTCCAACATACACTAGCCTCTGTTCCTCTGGGAATACGTGCGAGATCGGTTTCCCATTTTCATTAAAAAAAAAAGCCATCTTTCCGAAAGACATTCTGAATTTGGAATGTTTGTCTTAGCTAAGTTTAAGGAAATTATATATTTAATGTAAATTCTATAGAGAAGAAAAGTAACTCATATAGAAGTGGAAATACCTGTAAGAAGGGAGATCAGAGTGTAGAAGGGAAGTTCTATGCTACCAAAGTGACTTGTTTCAGGAGGCAGAGTTGTTCAAATATAAAGAGGATTTTTTTTTTTTTTTGGTTATTTTGTTAAGAGAAAATAAATACGAAGCAGAAACTAGGATGAGTTCAGTGGGAGCAAAAGGGACTTAGGTAGCGATCTCACTGACAAGAGAGTTAAAAATGACAAATAACGTTGCAGATTGACTTGAGGGCCCCAGTTTCTCACCCCACCTTGAATCTACACTATCCGCACAGCCTTGTGGGAGGCTGCGGGCATTTGCCTGAGCCCGGGCTTTGGTTCATCCACGTGACTTTCACTGGCCAATGAAACCAATGGAATGTGGGTGGAAACAGCATGGTGCTAAGTCCAATCTAGACTTTAGGAAGCTTTCCATACAATTGTGCATCCTCACCTGTTTCCCTGATTGTTATGATAAGAACACGCTCTGGCTATTATGAGGCCGAGCTGCCCCAGCTTTCCTGCAATCTTCACGTGAGAAATAAATGCTTACTGCTGTGTCCCACTGAGATTTGGACATTTTTATAGAGAGATAGCTGACTGATACAAATGCAAAGCCAGGAAAGCGGGTGAGGAAGAACTCAGGATACTCTGGGAGAGACATGAGAAGCCTCGGCTGCTTGAAATTTACCTTTCAATTCTATATTTATAACTACGACACTATTTGGTTCTCAGAATTTTCCACTGCATGGATGCATTGTAATTTATTTTATCAACATTTCTTCATAGACATGCAGGTCATTTCTAATGTTTTATTGTTATGACCAGCATAATCTTGTACCTAGTTTTAAATGCTTCACTTATCTCTGTAGGACACAGTTCAAGAATCAGTATTGCTCAGTTGAAAGAAATGAATATTTTTCTTTGGAGGGTTGCTGTCAGATGTCTGTCATCATTACCATCATCACTGCATGTGTTTGGAGAACATTTATTATGTGCCAGGAAAATACACTTTATATGTAATTTATCATTGCATACTCACCATAAATTATGAGTAGACACTATTGTGATGTTTATTTTACAAATGAGGAACTGGTCAAAGAGAAATTTGGTAACTTGTCTGCGATTATAAAAAGTGAAAGCAGAATTGAAAACCAGACAGTTTGATTTCCTTTACACTCTCACAAAATAGTGTACAATAGTACCCACCCTGTCCCTTGCAATTTCTGCTTTGTAGTAAAATAGTTGCTTGTTTGAAAATGAGTGAACTTACTCACTCAACCAACCAGGGAAGCCCAGGAGAATGAGCGCTGTTGTGGAAGAGAAGTGAAGGAAAGGTGAACTACTTTTTTCTGAGAAGAACCTATAGTTTCCAAATGTTGAGGAAATGTAAACCCATGGAAAAAGAACCACGAGATAAATGAACAAACATTTAACTAAGGCAGAGTAGTCGCTAGTGTTTAATGGCCAATGAAAATCATGACATTCCTAAGGACTATGAGGAGAATTTATATCTAAATGTGACCTATGTACTTCCATGTATTTGATGATATTTTATAATACCATCATCCTCATAGGACTCATATATTTAAAATCATTTCACAAATATACTTTTCTCATAGACTTTGATCTTACTTGCCTATTTTAACTAAAATATTTTTCTTCTTACAATTATAATTTGTGAACAGTTACTTGATATATTTTTAAAAGGTAAAAGAACTTATATCTCATTAAGAATTGACAAAATTATTTTATTTTTGCATTGGTTATAAGTAAAAAAGCAGTCAATAATCCTTTATTCCCTACTCATTCTTTCTTGAACAGCCATATATTTTAGGAACTATTAAAACGTATCAACTAAATTTCAGGTAAATAATGTATATATGTGTCTACAGTACAATTTTTCCTCAATGTTTCCATATGTTTTGTATGCTATAGACTTATTCCTTGAATAGCTGCAATATTCCTTTTTATACTTGCTAACGCTGCAAGTCTTTTTCAGGAGATTCAGATAAACTTTACCTAAGTTTTTCTTCAACTACCATTCATTATAAAAAGTCCCTCATTGGTTTAATTTTGCATGTTCATTAGAAATTCAATTTATTTTTTTATTCTTATTCTTACTTCTTAATCTGTCAAGTCTTTCTCTGGTTCTTGTATCCTCAAAGTGAATCCACCAACTTTTAAAAATTTAATCCTCATCTATGACTTTATATTTTTTCATCTAGTCTTTATGGTTAGTTTATGGTAGTGTTATCATTTGTCTTTTATAGACTATTTTAACTTTGGATGCCCTTGTCCATTTCCTTGTCCCCATCCCACTTTGTCATCATGAATGTATGCATCAAGCCCTTTGACTAATTTTCTTGTGTGCCCTTGAGATTTCTTCCTAGGCTCTTTAAATCAAATCATTATAAATCATAGTCTGTTTTGTTACACAAACTCTTCACATAAACCCCTCCCCTAACTTTTACTGTCTGAGTGTGAGTCAGCACTACTCTGAAAGGCCTTCATATAGTCCCACACTATAAGAGGAGACCACAGTGGCTTGCTGGATCTTACAGTATGAGAGTTCTCATCTTTCCTTTTCCCTAAGCTAGGACCACTTCCCTCCACCATCGTGGTGTGTAAGGAAACACCTTCAGAGTCATGGGAACATGGGCAGTAGACAGGTGGTCAAGATGGTTTGCGACCATAGGGGTAGAGGAAGGAGTCAGGAAGGTAGAGAAGGCAGGAGGTTGACCACAAACTCTTCCTACTTCTTTTGCCCTTGGTCTACCCCATGGAAAGAAAAGAAATCTTTATTTCTTTTTCAGAACTTTAAAAGAGTTATGTAATATTTTATGCAAATGAAAGAATGTACAATACATGTGTATATGGTTATGATTCACAATAAGCAAATAAACAGCTATGAACCTACCACTTAAGGACTAAAATATTACTAGTAACAGACCAGATTTCCAGCAACAATGGAGTAGTAGGGACTAGATTTATTTTCTCAACTGAAATGACAAAAATAAAATATAAAATAATACTCAGTAAAGGTTTTCAAAACAGTACATATCATGCAAAATAAACACCTGCATAATGTCTTTCAGAAAGATGGCCTCTTTCTTTTTAAACGAAAATGGGAAACCGATCTCGCACGTATTCCCAGAGGAACAGAGGCTAGTGTGTGTTGGAGGAGCTCTTACAGATGAGTCACTGCTCACACGTCCCATAGAGGCTGAGGGAGAATAATCTGGTTTCAGTTGATCCAGTTTTGGAGGGATTAGCCAGGCTTTGAACCAGTTTCAAAAAATGAGGCTTTGCCCTATTCTAGCCCCAAAAGAAATGTAGTTGGTAGAGGGGGAATATTCAGAAGAGAATGTCCTAAAACATTAGCCCTTCCCTTGGATTCTTAGAGTTTCATAAACCCCAAACCCAGAGTCTCTTACTGGGGGAGACAGGCTGAGCAGTATGAGAAAGGGGAGCGCATGCTTCGAGAATTCTGGATGCATTTCCCAGAAAAGGAACAGGATGAACATGATCAGAAGAGGCAATTTCCTTCCTCTTTCCTAATCTTGGCTCCAGATGCCTCAGCAGATTCTCTTCCATGTCTTGCATGTTGCAGATGTCACTGGTGCCATCACCTTGGGGACAACATGTGGCTCTTAACAGCTCTGCTCCTCTGGGGTAAGTTGGGCTTGGAGAGATCACTAGAAGGGGCAGGCCCTGGCTAAGGGGGCTGAGGGTTTTCTGTCTTCCTTTGGTAACCTAGGCTAGAACTCATGAGTATGGAGACAATGATCATATCTGTGCTTCCATGGTTTATTGGTGTTTATTATATCCAAAGTCTTAAATCTATCTTTAAATAATATCTGTATGTGGTATGAGGCAGGTATCCAACTTCTTTTCTTCCTTAGGTATAACCAATTGTCCCAGAACCATGAAAAAATTTAAATCATTCCTGACATGAACTGCCAATTCTATCATAAACTGTTTTCTTATATATGTGGTTCTCTTCCTAGAGTCTATGCTATTTTATTCCCAGTTGCCTTGTCCTGTGTCAATACCACATTGTGTTGATACTATAGCTTGTTGACCCCGCAGAAGGAATATAGGTGTCAACAAGGACGACTTAGGCTAACTGGGTCCAACTTTAGAGTCTAGCAGCGCATTGTTTGCAAGAGGGCCTCTTCAGGGAAAAGCCACCAGCGGGGCTGCTAAGCCTCCTGCACTGTATTTGTGCAGTCTGAGCAGAATCCTATATAGGAGTTGTTAAAATCATAATTTAACCAGTGGTTGGCCTGAGACCTATCCACTCCAATGAGCTCTGTCCTTATTTGCATTGTTAGCAACCAATGAGAGTACCTCCATAAGGACCACTCAGGACTCCCTGATTCTGACGAGTCAGGACAGTGTTATTTGAACAAATCAAACTATACAAATTTGGATTCATTATTTACATAGAAATGGGCAAACATGAGACCAAGGTGGGCACCTTATATAACTGGAACTCCCTTTGTCTTAGGGTAGGCATTTTAAGTTTCCACAGAAGCTGCCTGACTCCTGGGTTTGCAAACTGTTTAACTGAGTAAAGTCTCTACTTTTACTACACGCTAAGCTGGGGACTCCTGCTGGCAATGGTTGATGGCAGTGACCTTTTATAAACAGGCTTTATAGGGCATCTTAACATATGGTAGTACACATCTCCCTGACTCATCCATCTTCAGGAATGTTATTCTTTTGTTTTTGCTGATTGTAAAATAATTATTGGGCTTTAAATTAGAATTACATTAAATATGTAAATTAATTTGAGGAGGATTTGTATCTTTATGATACTGAGTTTTTCAAACAATAAATTTGGTGTATCTAGTCTTTTGCTTCCTCATAATAACCGATGCGAGGAGGCATATTGGAACAGCAGGAAAATAATGTTCCTATGAGTAAAAATGGACACTTTGAAGAGCATTTTACAATCCATGGCAGCTGGAAAGCTTCCATTCCAGTCTAGTGAGTCAGCTAATGCGTCTGTCCACAGTCCCCCAGCAGTCCAGACAATAAGTAACGATCGCTCTGTGACTGAGGTCTGTGGGAGGCAGAGGAGTTTTTCTGAACTTTGAGAAGCTCTCAGTCACAGAACTCCTAGGGATGGCCAGCTGTGGATTGAGGGACTCAGCAGTTTTGTCGTGGGAGAAGTTAATTGAGTAAAAACACTGCACTGCTGGGGATCATAGGAAGCACATGCGTAGTCTTCACCCTTGAAATTGTTTGCACAGTGGCTTTGTTTCCTAGGGCTGCATCCAGTCCAGGTGGACATTGACTCGCAGTGTAACTTGTTTATGCCACCATGACTTAATTTCTCTTCCCCCAATAGCCGCTAGGCTGATCGTAGCAGGAAGAGAAAACAAAACTTACTGGAAAGTCAGAGTAACAGAAACTTAAGTAGATTCATCAATCTAAATAAGGCTGGGATGCTCCAACATCTGACTCAGTTTTGTGCCTGAGAAAGAAAGCCAGATTCTTTACGGGGAAAATCAGTTCTTTGCAATAGAGGTGTGGTGAGAGTCAAGAAATAAAGCATTTACATATTCATGGTGGCTTACCACTTGGTAAGGGTAGAAGTGTATTATCTTCTGACTTTACAAAGGGCAAGCAGAGGCTGCTTGTAGTCAGAGAACTTTACAACTATAATTTAGGGTACTAGGGTAGACTTCAATAAAGCCTCTGTTCAAGACGGCATTCCGGACTGGATCCTCTGGTCCTCCTTCTTCTCACCTGACTTCATGAAGATGCTGTCACACAGGTGTAGTCACGTTTACGTCAACATTTTCTGCTGAACACTGTCTGGGAAGGAAGGAAGTGGCTCTGTTTGTGTCACCGCTGAGTCACGATCGCTTGAATAGGATGCTCACCCAGGGAGGACAGCGACAGTTCCTAATGTCACAATCATATTTTTCCCCATTCCACTACTCACTTCTGCATCCACATTTTGGTTCTTTTGATCTCAGAGACATTGCAGTTGCTAACGCGGTCCAGACTTTAGCCCACTCTCCAAAGTTTCAAAAGCTGTGGTTTGTGGAGCTAAATGAAACAGAGGAGATCAGAGGTCTGAGAGTTTAAGGATTCCCAGAGATCCTACCAATCATCACTCTCCCTGCTTTGGTTAGGAATATGGTTACCCAGCTCAAATAGAGGACTTTTGGCTCAGTTTAGAAAACTGGGGAAAGGCCATTTCCTCTATCAGATGTGCAGGACCCTCATTTTCATAAGCGATGTGAATTTAAGGGTAGTTTCTCTTTTATATAGATTAAAAAATTATTTCCTTTTCTCATAGTATTTTTAACACCAAGTGGATGGGGATGAGGGTTCCCCTCACATCAAGGAATCCTGATATTAATGGCCCACAGTGAGGGCAGAGGCTGCAGGTTAGCATACAGTCCCACACGACTGCCCCCCAGGGACCAGTCACCAGGCCAAGTTGTCACCTGGGCTCACCAACTAGGCATAAGGTGTTCCCTAACTGCCTCCATGAGTTTATAAAAAGTATTGATAATATCAAGTTGGAAAGAATAGAAGAAACTGGATATTTTTATACACTGTCGAAAGGGGTAAAATGGCAGAGCCTTTTAAAAAATGTTATTCAGAGGCATATGAACAAATCTGAATTTTGCCCATTAGGTTAATACATTACATTGGACCATATGAAATTGCCCGTAGTTGACAAAGTTTCACCTAAAAAATGAACTTGATAGATCAAAAAGAAATCACATGCACTGAGACACAAAAAGAAAAAAAGTAAAATGTTTTCAAAATTTCAAGAGGGTCTTATGTAGGATAGTGAACCAAGGCAGGGAGGAGGAGGGAGGCACGTCTCACCCACTAACTCAGCAGGCCCGAGCTTGGTTTGATAATATTGCCAGGTGTTCTGACATCACAAGAAACACCATGTTAGCACGGGAGGAGGGCGGTCCCTGAAATTCTATGTATCGTCCCCACTGTCTGGGAAGGAAAGCCTTGAAACCGTTCTTTCATCCCAAGGCCTGGAAGGTGGGAGAGGGACCACAGTGTCCAAAGGAAGAAGCCCACAAAACGGCTTTGGTTAATTGCCTGCCTCTGGTCACTATCTGTTTTAAATAACTTTGTGTAATTGCCCCAACTTTAATGAACTGCTTCCTGTCATGTATCTATTTTACAATAAGATGAATGAATGGGGTCTTGAGGAAGATAAGGATTCAGGCTAACAGACCCCCACACATACCTAAGTTTGGGCATTCATGCCCCCCCAGGAAAGCTGGCACCACCTTTACTTGTCAATCAACATGTAACTTCTTCATCTGATCCCACCAACTATGTAAGTCCTCAGAACAAAGGACTCTCACTCTTGGCTCTTGGGCAGCCCCACTTCAGGCCACCCAGCCTCTGGATACACCTGTGCTTGCTACCTGGCCTTTGCCCGCCCTTACTTTCCCTCCCTCACCCTGCTTTGCCTATGCTTTTCATTCCCCCCTCCCCGACCTAGAGAGCTAGGCCATTCTCTTCCATGAAAACCGATCACCAATAAACCCTGCTTGCACACTGATAGATTCACTGCTCTGTAATTTTTTATGGTGTAGGCAAAAACTGAGTTTCTGGGAATTTCTCTGGTAACAAGGGTATGGGTCAGAAGGGAACTGAGTTAGACCAAAACTTATTTTTCAACTGGTTGTGTAAGGCAAGAATTTCCCCTCTTACCGAGGCCACGAGGGCTGGATGGCATAATTTCCATTGCTCTATCAATTGCTCTGTCTCCTGAAGGAACGCTCATTCTTTCCTGATTCCCAATCCATACATACTTCATTGTCAGCTGGGAAGTATTTTATTGTGTCTGGTGTTTTGGGAGACTATTTTCCACTTAAATATTGAGAATGTGACCCTAAGCCATAATTTCTGGCTATCATTTTGAAGCAGAAAATGAGATGACCATTCAAATAGGAAACGTTAGCTATGGCCAGTCCCGGATTCAGCATTAGATAGTGTATGGACCCACTGTGGGGGCTTCAGGGTGTGCAGGAGCACTAGAAATTCACTTCTGGGGTTCTCTCAGTCCAAGACATCCTGGCAGTTGGAAAGAATCCCAGGATTATCCCACTGCAGGGTTGCGGCAACCACCAAAAAACATTGCTAGGATAAAAAAAAAATGGCGGAGCATTTTTCCATCACTTCCCCGAAATCCTAAGTAAACCTTACGCTTTTGTGCTCTTGACTCTTTTGACAACAGAGCCACTTTCCTGTGTTGACCCAGCTTCTGTTTATTTAAATCTCTGTGCACATGTGCTTCTGTCTACAATGCTTTTAACAACATAATAAAAATAATGAATGTTTGATTTCAAATGATGTGATCTGGTTCTGTTTTCTAAGTAAAGTCTGAGCATGAATAGAGTGGCCAGTTGGGGACTCCACAGGAAACAGTGTTAGCTTTGGAGCCTGCAGCCTTTGAGCTTGTGGCCCAGAGTAGCCTGGCAGAGGAAAGCACGTTCAGGAGTAATTTCCTGCGATAAAGTCTGTATTTGTAGTGACTTGACAGTTTCCACAGTGGTGGAGCTGTGATTTGTACTCCATCCTGTGGTGTCAGCAACGGAGACTTAAGTCAGTCCCATAGTAGTAAAATACGAGCATATTTCTTAAGGTATTTAGTATATTTAGAAGTTGAT